TACTTACATTATGCCAAATGTGTCCAATATTGTTTAAATCCAGAAAAATCTTCTATTTTAAGCAGTGTACTGGCCCTTGTCACTGCGTCGCCTATCAATGACGCCATATCCGCGTTACCCTCGATTTGCAGTTTTACTTTCGTACAAACCATTGAAAAACACCAAAGATGCTTTAATATATTATGTTTTTTTTTTTACAGTTTAGCAACTGTTTGGATACCTTTATCGATATAAAACTAATCATAGCTCAACACGGTAGTCCTATTGTTTGAATCTCTTGTTTTCTTGATTTACTGCGAGAAACGCAGTTTTACCATGCCTCAGACTCAGAGACACCATTCTGTCAAGTGGCTAACATAGCAAAATCAGAAAGAGCTTTATTTGTAGTAACAGCCTTTTCTCCACAATATAGCCTATTTTAAAATGAACTGCATGCCATTTATTATATGTTCTAATATCGACTTTGCTTCCTGCAATTTGCAACGTCTCTCATACCAGCCACAGATAAAATGATATGTAGGCTATGAGTAGTTATTCAGCACTTAGCCTACGGCTGTTTTATTAGAATAAAATAAAATAATGTGAATTTAAGTGATCAAACAAAACTGTAACAAAAGTATAAGTTACGAACGTAAAACGTCCCAGGCTCTCTATCCTGCTTCATACCACATAAACGTTATTAATACTTTAATACATTTGCTCGTCATCAATGAACATGAATTCTGCGTCAGATTGCTTTCCATCGGCTGTGGAGGTGAAGACAACAACTCCCATGATTCCACGCTCATTCACGGAGTCATCAAGCTACGCCTTTGTTATTGTTTTGAATAAGTGACCTCTAGTGGCGAAACTTATACTGTGGATTTAAGAGATGAGCAAAGAGGATAAAAACATTTTGTAAAGGCTATTGGAGCTAGAATTGCTGAATACTGTGCAGAATGTATGCAGCCGTACTTTTAAAAAGGTATTTGGAAACAGAGGCTGAATTCCGAATAGCATACTACTCTTACTATTTACTAATACTACCTGCCATGCATGCTGTTATTCTGAATTCAGCCCATGTTGTGGCTATGCTGAAAGGAACAGGCTACAAGTTAATGCTTGCTAATGTTTAAAAAAAGTTGTTCATCATATCCTGGTGTGCCCTTGGCTTTCCTCTGTGTGGATTTGATGCCTTTGGTTTTTGTCTTGCAAGGTAAGGGACCTTTTAACATTTTTAAGACCAAAAAGTCAAGCTCATATTAGCTATGTGGTTTCACCAGTAGCAGCGTGCTGGGAAAACACAAAGGTTGTATCAAAGTTTAGAAGGGGCAAGATCCCTGAACTGTGAACAAAAAGTATTGGGAAAACGCATTTCAGCTACATTTAGCTTCCATTTGCTGACTGCACACATTTCCACAACAGTGTATGGATATATTAAATATATAGATTTTTTGGGGGGTAAAACAATTAAGAAGAAACATGCACTCAACTTTTATGTTACATTCATAACAAAACCTCGATAGACTAAATTATACAGGCAGCTTTTATTTATAATTGCTTGTAGACATTTAGCTTGACACAATAATTGTCCAAAAAAAATAAAATAATTCACCCATTTTAATAAGTACACGAAAAAAGACATTCTGTCACAGACAAGTTTGCACAAAGAAATTGCTTTATTAACAGAATTTTGCCCACTCCAACATAGAATTCAGCAATATGCAAATGAATGAAAAAAAATAAAAATAATTTCCTTTGGTTCTACTGACAGATCTTATTCAACATTCATAAGAACATGAAAGTTTGACATATTTAGAACTGAATTAGGTGAAGACAAATTATGGAGCAATCTGACATGCCCTAGTAAAACCAATAAATCAAACCAAAAAAAAACTACTACTTTGTGAAAAAAAGTGATCAATCCTTTAATACGCTAAACATAATTTAGATTATAAGGCAGACAAGTTCCAGGTGCCCAACCTAAAGTCATCATCACAAGTCTTATGAAAGAAAGATCATTTAGCAGCCTCCATTAATATTCAGTGTAATAAGCTAATTTAACACATCAGAAACTGACATGTGCAATTCAGGAGTCATGCAAATACCAAACACATTCAACAACTTTAAGAACGACTTCTGTCACCTCTTAAAATAAAATGTTTAGCCCCACACTTGGATTTTATACATCTATGGAGCTCAAAGCCTTCTGAGAATCAACAATGGAGGTTCCACCTCGTAAACATTGCGATTTCACTGTAAACTGTCTCTCATTTAATCTAAGACAGTGATTTTTCTCAATGTCAGACAAAAATGGTGTCCCGTTTTATACATGTTTTCAGGGTCATCAATATTTGCATTGTTTATATATATTAGGAATATCCACAGTACAGTTGACGTCCTCTCTGCAGGAAGCTGCATGCTGTAACTTCAAAGTGAGACTATTTCTGCGGCCTACTTCTATGTTCAATGTCAGACAGTTACAGCTAACTGTCTCACTATGTCCTGATTAAAGAGAAACAGCCTTCTGCTGCGATCACTAGATACAGTACTAACATTATGCAGTCTTATATATGACCATATGCAGCCCAAATGCACAGCGGCACTCAAAAATCAGCCAGCTGTTAACTCTTGTTCTTGTTATTTAGATTTTTTTTCACTGCTGTTCTGTTGATTATGAGAAGACATTCAAGGACATACAGTATTTTAGGTCTTGCCGATCCTTAAATTACTGAAAATAAATTACACACGCCAGTGTGTTCTTGAATAAGACAAAGTATTTCAGGTTGAAATTGTCAAACCTGTGTAATGGAGGCCAGCTAGTAGGACCTGTGCGACTAAACCTCACTCCCCTGGGCTCAAGAAGAGAACACTCCTCTTGTGGTGCACAAACCCAACCGTTGGTTTACATTTTTTTAATTATATTTTTAAACCCAATGGTTGGGTTTGTCCATATTTGACCCAAACAACCCAGCATTTTTTTTTAGAGTGTAGCGACTGACACTAGAGGCTACAGTCTTTAGCGTCCACTCGCCGGTTCGAATCCTGTTCGGAACGGTGCGAGTAGAGGGGTAATGTTGGTGCCGTGACCCAGATGGAAGTGAGGTTTAGGGAGGTGAGTGTAATGGAGGCGGGCTAGTAAAAGCAGTGCGAGTAAATCTCACTCCCCTGGCCTCAAGAGGCGCACTAGAGGCTGCGGTCTTTAGTGTCCTTGTTAGCGCACCCGCCTCCCATGCTGGAAACGTTGGTTTGAATCCCGCTCGGAGCGAAATGTTACAAGAACAAGATGCCTCTAAGAATGGACAGTGACTTCAGATCAACATCTTGAAAATCACTGTTGGTCAAAGTAAAGTCAAATAACATGCTATTGTACTTTACAGTTAATCCACACACTGTTTGATGACTACCTAGGGAAAAGGTCTTCAACAGGCGTGTATACTCTGCAAAAAAAAAAAAAAAAAATCTGTACTCTGTATTTTTGTCTTGTTTTTCAGCACAAAAATCAAAACATTCTTAACTCAAGATATATTTATTTGAGAAACAAAAAACACTCAAGATATTTCCTTTTCTGAACAGTTGATCATAATGAAGTGAGTTTGTTTAAAAAAAGAAGAAAATATCTGCAAATGTGGTCAGAAAAATAAACTTAATTCAAAGTGAGAACAAGATTATTTTTCTGACCCCATTGGCAGATTTTTTGTTTCTTAATTTAAGCATGAATTCACTTTATTTGCCACTGATTTCTTTTTTTGAAAACAAGACTTAATATCAAGTCATTTTGCTTCTTAAGCAAATACATCTTGATTTAAGAACGTTTAGATATTTGTACTGGAAAATAACACAAAAACACTAAGTTAGAAAGTCATTTTTTACTGGTAAGCAAAACTAAGCTAAATATTTAATTGTCCAACCCACATTAAAATATTAAAATAACATACATACAATAATCCCAATAATGATTAAAAATAATTCAGTAACACTTTACAATAAGGTCTCATTTGTTAACATAATGTATGAGCAAACAATAAGCAATATATTCTTACAGCATTTATTAACCTTTGCTAATGTTAGTTAATAAAACATATACATGTTAATTTTAGTTCACAGTGAATTAAATAATGTAAACAGATGCAACTTTTGATCTTAAAAATGTATTAGTAATTGTAGAAATTAACATTAAGATTCATAAATGGTGTAGAAGTATTGTTCATTGTTAGTTCATGTTAACTAATGAAACCTTACCAATAATTATTACTTATATTATATTATTAATAATAATTACTTAATGGCTCATCCATGTAGCAACAAAACAAAGAATGTAAATGCATTAAAATGGCATGATATTTTAGGCCAAGCTTAAAATACAATTGATTGTATACTATCAACAAAAGGGGCATTCAGTTTGAAAAACATTGAAGACCTCTGATCAATGTAGGAAAATTAGAGAAAACGATTGCAGGGTGGACAAACACTGTAAAACACTGAATTTTCGGTACTTTATGTACACAAGTATAGCACAATTGCTTTGGGTTTTACCTGTACATGAAAGTTATATTATACATATTCATACACTATTAAATTCACTACCATAAATCTAATAACCCCAATAGGGGGTTTCAATTAACTAAAGAGATACTAAAAAAAAAAAAAAGTCTCAGTCAAGTAAAATGAAAGCCTTTCATTATTTAGAGGCTTTTGTGTGTCTTAATTTCTTAATGTCTCTTTCAATTCTATAAGGATGTAAGCTCATTTCATTGGTTAAGATAGAAATCGGATTCGGTCCAAATGGCGTCCTTCTTTTTTCTAATGGCCATGCATACAAATGCAGAAAGATCCCAGACCCTGGTAGAACCCAGACATACTACGCATAATCTTATTACCAGTGAGCCAAAGGAAATGGCCTGCGCCAAAAGATAAGGCCCTAAGTGAATGTGTGCTGCAGAATTCCTTTCCGTAATGAGATCATATAAAAAAATAAATATCTGAATATTTAGAGGAACACTTAAATTATTTAATGCTGAGTAGTCTTATGTACAATGTGAAAAAAAAAACCCCAGCAGAATCTTCCCTGCAACAAATGTAAACAGATGTTTTAAGATCTCAAATAAAAAAATAAAAAAATGTAACATTTCTTTGACAGGCGCTTATACATTAAATATACTTCAAAACGTACATTATAATTTATTTATATTTCTTTGAAGTAATTGCATATTCATTTTTGTCAAAATTGTGAAATTGTGATTAGATTCAAAAGCCACTTATGGAGGAATGGAGAGCGTCCATTGAACAACCAGTGACCTCCATTTGTTATTTAGTCTCTGTGATGGTTTAGGTGAATAGCTCTTGAGAGCTCAGCAGCACTGTGTTTTTACAGCGGTTCATAAGCAGTTTACACCCGCCAGAGCCGGACTGTTACTGTCCAGCTGCACGGGCTTTCTGCTGCAGTAACGCGGCCCTCTGCTCCATCATGGCTCTCATCATGTTGGGGTTAATAGCTGGACTCATAGCAGGGGACATGGGTCGTAGTGGATATTGGCTGGATTTTGTGCTCATTAAAACGCACTGGAAGTATGGTATCTTGCCTGTAACACAAAGAACAAGTGATTCTCTGTTCTGATGTCAGGTGCAAAAAAAAAAAAAAAAACTAAATACATAAAACACTGAACAGTTCAAAACACACAGTTCAAAACACACACACACACACACACACACACACACACGTACTGTATGTATATATATGTATATATAGGCCTATATATATGTATATATACATACACACACACACATACACAATCAATTGGAAAATTCAAGTTCAAATATGTGCAACTACAACATTACATCTTCAACAGTGCAATTAGATTACTGTACTAATTACTCTTTAAAAAGTATTGCATTACTTACTACTAATTACCTTCTTAATCCCATTTCAATTTCGACCAGTTGAACATTACAAGGATAGACATGAAACTGCTCTTTTAATTCTTTCAAATAAATAATATAAAATTGCATAAATTATTCTTGAATTGACCAAAGTATTTAAAGGGAGAAGGTTACATAAAAACATACATTTTTAACATTAGACGTTAAATTTTGATGCCAAGTCCACTATTGTATGGAATTGTTCTATAGTCTATAAAGTATTCAATGCAATTACATCAGACTAATGGTAATTAAATTACAGAACAATTAAGAGTATTCTCTTACTTGACTTTTTTAAGGGAAAAGTAATTAAATTACAGTAATGCATGTTGGGTCTAATGCATTACACCTACTGATAAACAGAATATATAACAATAACTGAAGATATTTAGTTATTTTTAAGCATCTCTATTCAGTTGAAGTTGTGCTTTTTTTTTAATCCGGCAACAGGTTTGCTATGTAAAATTCCATATTGCAATGTAACATATTATTGTACTGTTTTCAAAACTCTGTTACACTGGAAGATTTTGCTGGAAAAACTACTATAATGCAATGTATGGTGTGGAATTAGATTAATTTACCTGGCTTTTTGCCCTCCGTGACATTTTCCTCCACTTTCAGCTCTTCTAATTAGTTGTTAGAGAGAGAAATTGAAGAAAAATGTACTCATTTCAACATATAACATGACGTGCTGCTGTAGGAAATCTTTAAATGACATGGCAAATACTTTCAGTTAAGGATAGAATATCTGTTAATGTGGCATTTAGTTTTCAGGGTTGTTATAAGGTGACATGACAAAGCTCAGTTCTCAGAGGAATAATTTTTACAAGCAGTAGACCACGATATCTGCGAACACCCACTGAGGCAGAGTTGAAGACTTGAATTTGAAAGTAACGGCGACCTTCAAAAGTTACTTTAAATGGATGAAAACCAGGCTTGCGAATAAAAAAAGTCACTTGAGACCTTGGTGGGATTATATATCCTCAAAAATCCTCAGATTTGCCAAGGAGAAACACATTTTTACATAAAAGAGAATTCCTTGGTGAACTATAACAGTAAGAAATGTCCATCTGAAGAGTAGTTGCAAGTAAATGGCACTGAAATAACACAAATGTTGCATTTGTGGGTATTCACAAACTGTGGGGATTAAAATTCAGTAATATTATTGATTTGATTGGATGAGAACAAAACTTGAACTGAATTGACAGCAGCTGATTCTGCCTTATAGCTGATTCTCTTTTTTCAAAATGTGTTTCAAAAACAAACTAAATCAACACTAAATTGACTTCAGCTGAAAAATGTCACTTTTGTCTATTTTAGAGCTGCTTTACAGCTGAATTGAATTCTGTTTGCATCACTGATTTTTATTTCTCTATTCATCACTGTTTTGAAACAATCTGCATTGTAAATAAAGATGACTTGACTTTATTTGCCACTTCATGTTGCATTAAATAAAGAAAGAATCTGTAAATAGATTAAAAAAAATGTATTCTGTCATCATTTCCTCACCCTCAAGTTGTTTCAAACCTGTATGAATTTCTTTCTTCTGCTGAACACAAAGGAATATATTTTGAAGAATTTGATGGACCCCATTGACTTCCATAGTAATTTTTTTCCTACTATGGAAGTCAATGCGGTACATCTACTTTTTGGTTACCAACATTCTTCAAAATATCTTTCTTTGTGTTCAGCAGAAGAACGAAATTCAAACAGGTTTGAATCAACTTGAGGGTGAGGAAATGATGACAGAATTTTCATTTTTAAGTGAACTATTCCTTTTAAGGATGCTTAACTATTTTTACAGAAAAATAAGACAAATATACTGATTAAATTATTTCTTTGCAGTGAATAGTGCCTTGTTAAAATGGACGGCAAGTGGTTTGTGAATAAGACCCAGGGTTTTCACTGAAATAATGTGGCACAACGGTTATTAAATCTGACCTTGAGTCTCTAACGAGCAAGTCAAGCGATTTGTGTTAGGTAGGAGTTACAGTGAAAGAGTGACATTAGGAGTTCACACAGGGCCACCCAGCCAGCAGCATTAGTGTATTAATAGCTACATTTAATTTGTAATTTCACTAATGCTGTTTAAAAATAGTTTAATCCCTTTGGTTTAAGTGGGATAACCTAGAATAGTGACAATGTGTACTGTGGCTCAGTTATTGAAACTGTGATGTTAATACATCCGGTGAATAAGGAATTGTACCTCAATGTCGCCTGGAAGTTTTTGAAGTTCTCCCAAGTTCTACAATATGCAGGTACGCATGATCACTATGGATGCTGAACAATGCATTTCTAAATGTAGTCTGCAGATGTTTCAAACTGCTTACACAAATGCATGCATTTGATTATTGCTTTTGACATCCGGAATGATTAGGTACTACAGCGCTATACGAAGCACACAGGCTAAATTTAATCTCAAGCTTCACGCAATACTTCTCCACATCTCATGGACGTCAGAAAACATCGGAACTTACTTGCTGGTGCTGGTGCTGTTGCCTCAGCTGGTTTGTCTGAAGACAGAAATTTGAGGACAGAATTATGGTTAGCAAAGATTAACCTGAAAATGATGGCAACACATGGGCTCTGTTCCCAAAAAATAGAGAGATGTCTGAAGTAGAAATAGAAAACTGAAATAGAACCTCAGAAGTGACTGATTTTGAACTTGACGCCGCACAAAAAGCACTCCACATGGAACTGCTTACAAACCGCTCACAACTATGTTTGCCGTTAACACAGTGCTAAGCTAACAATGCAATACTTTTAACCCTTAAACGCATACTTCGGGTCTTTAGTGACCCAGGACGTCATTCACTACCCTCCTCCTCATTCATTTTTTAAAGTTAGACATCAACCTTCTTAGTATTCCTTAATTCATTCATTATAAACAATATAACAAGAAAAAAATTATCAAATTATAAAAGAATGCCTGTTTTCCCATTAATTTTTTGTAAAAATTGTAATGACTTGAGGTGTGTAACAGTGTAAGTATGTTTTTTTTCTGCACAACAATTGAATATTTGATAAGTGCAATGTCTGATACACAATGATGAAGTGACATTTCACTCATAGTTACCACAGGCAAAAAACAAAAGAATAGGAAGTATCATCAGCAAAACTCAAAATGGCTCAGCGATTTATTGCATAGGAAGTACTGAAGACAATCAAATATTAGTGTCACTGTCACTTGATGGTGGATCTGGTGAAGAAGCTGTCAGCGTTTAAAATATTGATTTTGAAGATGCTGAAAATGATAGTTTTGAGAATATGTTTGCGATCGCGAATATGAGCCAGATACTGAATGTACTGGGAAATGAGTTCTGACGAGGACGGCGATGATGGTATAAAACTTCAGCTCAAACTGAACCCTTCCAAGCTCCAAAAGGTAACAAAATATGCTTTATTTTATTCTTCTGTAATTGTTACTCATATCAGGAGAGTTGTGTATTATCGAGTCAGGTAGAGATCCATCCGTGTTAGATATAGATCCGGGTCGCTAAAGACCCAAATACGTAAGAATGTTTGGTGAAACATTCATACATTTAAGGGTTAAAGTATACAAATAAACAACAAAAATATTGGACAAAATATTTTTAGCACTTCTCAGTACTGAATTAAATATATTTATAATCCACATTTCCACTGAGCTTCTCATAATGGATTATGTCATTACTTTCTCTATTTCACTGCTTTCATTTTTAAAGGGATAGTTTGTGTAAAATGAACACGCGTTTGTGGAATTAAAGAATAACATAATAGAATATAATATTTATGAGTTAACTGCCGTAGAAATCATTCTTTTAAGTCAGATCTTACAAATTACATGGCTGATCCACTTCACAAAGCCGGTTTCCAATTCTTGAGTTAAAACTCAGATGACATGACATGAGGGTGAATAAATAATCACAGAACTTTTATTTTTGGTTGACTTGTCCCTTTTAAATGCTGTGTACATAGTCAGCATACTAGTTTTTGAAACAGAGCCATGTCTACTTCATACCTTGGGTTTCTTCAGATGGTTTCTTCTCGGCTGGAACAGGTTTTCCTGGAGGTGAAGGAGAATAATGCTCATCATCACATTATCTATATTCTTTCAATATCATGTGTTTTTTTTCCATTTACACATTTACAATGTAACACCTTCATAATTGCACTTCAAGTGTGCATAAGTCTTTTAATCAAATCAGTTATTTCTATTCTTAATGTGTCAGGAAAACATGCTCATTTCAGTGATTATAATCATGGAACAGAACGTGAAAGGTACACTTCCTGTCATAAAAATAGAGAAATTCTGTCATGACTTCATCTGAAGTTATATTACTTGACAGATCCAATTTTCTTATGCCAACTAGTCTAAGGTTTTTTGTTTTCTTGATCCATCTTACAATCATCTATGCAGTAAGTTCTCTGTGCTTTTACAAATGCAAATAAAACATGTACTGGTGTTCACAACACAACACATCCATTGGGAAATGAATATAAAAACAATTCCTCAATATTTGGTCATGCATGCCTTTTTCATCCTGATAGCAGACACGAATAGAACCCTACATAAACCTTCTATGGATCCAGTTTTAGGTTTATTAGCCATGAAAATATTTTTTTTGTCTCTCTTTTCTGAGGGGATATTCAAAAATACAGAGACGTCTTTTGGGCTTTTTTATAATGCAATATTAAAAATAGTCATTAAAACTTACCCACAACAACTTCTTTAATGGCTTGTTTGGCTTTTGGTGTTGATGTGGCCTTCTTCTTGACTAATGATCAAACATAATCAAACAAATTACATTGATGCTATACAATATACAATACAACAATGTAAATATGTGTGTGCGTGTGTATATATACTGTATATACATGCACTTATCATTGAAGGTTGTCATTTTGGCACAACTTATACTTAAACCTTTCATTTAAGTGAGTTGATTTTGTTTTGTTTTTGCAGTAAAAGCTATTTTAAAGTGTTTTATCACTTTTACTTTTAGTCTCTTTTCCTCTTTACTTTTCCTCTTGTCGATTACAGTAAACACGATTTCCCAGCCCTTGCAGTATTTGATGTGTTAGTCCTTGCACGACATCAATGTACTAAAGAAGTTAAAAGCACATAAATATTGTATACTGTTTTCCTGTCAAGAAGTCGATAAGCTTTGCACGTAATAATTCTAAAGAGTCCATTAGCAATCTAAAATGTAGTGACCTATCTCTCAGGATGAACAAAATCATTCACTAAATGTAGATGCACTGCTGTCTTCAACACATTCAAAGCAAGACAGCAATGCTTAGTTTACTAATTTGATTATAAACAATTAAGTTCATAATAAACACATGTTGTTAAAAAAGAAAAACAGGTAGGATATTCTAAATATCCCAACAATATATTATTAATTAAATGTTTACATTTTCTGGAAAAAAAATGCCAGTGTCTTGTTGCTGGTTGTCAGGGCATTGTTATGCAATTGCTAAGGTGTTTTGAGTGTTTTAAACACAAGGTAATTACTTATTCTCCCATATGGTTAAGACATTTTTAATGATAAGGCTTGTGTCCCTCCTTCAAGACTGATTTTTTTAAACTCATTTTAACATTCATGCAAAACTAATAAGGCCAATCTTTTCGACAAGTCAATTAATGTAAGCAGCAATAACAATGTTGGATGAGTTTAATAGTTGAATATTCAGTATCAGAGAGTTAAATATGAGCTAAAGTAAAACATTTTTTCTTTTTTTTTTTAGTTTTAAGCAAGCATCACCTAATACTTTACAATAAAATAACTTACCCTCTGCAGTGGGCTTCACTTGCTTTACAGCTTTCTCTTCTTCCCATGTAGAGACACAAAAAAGCATAGATTTATAGGATGTAATATGAAATAAAAGTAGTATTTATCAATATCCATACTTCACATCCTACACCGCAAAAACTGATTTTCTTTTGTTTTATTTTCCAGTACAAATATCTAACTATTCTTAAATCAAGATACATTTACTTGAGAAGCAAAATGACAGAAGATATTAAGTCTTGTTTTCTGAAAAATCTATGAAAATTAAGCAAGTAAAAAAAAAAAAAGAGAGAGAGAGAAATATATGCAAATGGGGACAGAAAAATGAACTTAATTCATAGGGAAAACAATATTACATTTTCATACCCAATTGGTATTTTTTTCCCCTTGTTTTAAGATATTTGTTCTGGAAAACAAAACAAAAATACTGAGTCAGATTTTTTTTTTTTTTTTTTGCTGTGTAAAGACACAATGTTTGACTGCAGGGATTTTGTGGTATCAGATAAAACGAAATGGCATGTGGAAATGCCACAACAAATCTCTTTCCATGTGCCCAAATCTAGTGGTAGTTTAAGAGCAATTGATATCCAAAAGTAGAGGAGCAATGCAGAATTCAACTATTCACTCTCAGCAAAACTCTGAGGTTCTGTCTTCATGTCCAACACTTACAAAAAAAAGCTGAGCAGAACATTTTATGACATTGCCATGGGGCAGCTAACAGACACCTGCCTAAAGAAGCGAGACAAATATCATCCAGTCTGAAATATTTATAACCAGTTACCAATTTATAAACACCAGTTTATGACACGGTTAAACTTCTTTCTGTGAATATTAAAGGAGCAAATACAAGATAATAACACAAGGATTAAGAGTTCTTCCTTCTTTCATAACATTATGAAAGCTTTTGAGTATGAAAAATGTCACGTTTAAGCAATTAATATGAATATACACTCACCTAAAGGATTATAAGGAACACCTGTTCAATTTCTCATTAATGCAATTATCTAATCAACCAATCACATGGCAGTTGCTTCAATGCATTTAGGGGTGTGGTCCTGGTCAAGACAATCTCCTGAACTCCAAACTGAATGTCAGAATGGGAAAGAAAGGTGATTTAAGCAATTTTGAGCGTGGCATGGTTGTTGGTGCCAGATGGGCCGGTCTGAGTATTTCACAATCTGCTCAGTTACTGGGATTTTCACGCACAACCATTTCTAGGGTTTACAAAGAATGGTGTGAAAAGGGAAAAACATCCAGTATGTGGCAGTCCTGTGGGCGAAAATGCCTTGTTGATGCTAGAGGTCAGAGGAGAATGGGCCGACTGATTCAAGCTGATAGAAGAGCAACTTTGACTGAAATAACCACTCGTTACAACCGAGGTATGCAGCAAAGCATTTGTGAAGCCACAACACGCACAACCTTGAGGCGGATGGGCTACAACAGCAGAAGACCCCACCGGGTACCACTCATCTCCACGACAAATAGGAAAAAGAGGCTACAATTTGCAAGAGCTCACCAAAATTGGACAGTTGAAGACTGGAAAAATGTTGCCTGGTCTGATGAGTCTCGATTTCTGTTGAGACATTCAGATGGTAGAGTCAGAATTTGGCGTAAACAGAATGAGAACATGGATCCATCATGCCTTGTTACCACTGTGCAGGCTGGTGGTGGTGGTGTAATGGTGTGGGGGATGTTTTCTTGGCACACTTTAGGCCCCTCAGTGCCAATTGGCATCGTTTAAATGCCACGGCCTACCTGAGCATTGTTTCTGACCATGTCCATCCCTTTATGGCCACCATGTACCCATCCTCTGATGGCTACTTCCAGCAGGATAATGCACCATGTCACAAAGCTCGAATCATTTCAAATTGGTTTCTTGAACATGACAATGAGTTCACTGTACTAAAATGGCCCCCACAGTCACCAGATCTCAACCCAATAGAGCATCTTTGGGAGCTTCGTGCCCTGGATGTGCATCCCACAAATCTCCATCAACTGCAAGATGCTATCCTACCAATATGGGCCAACATTTCTAAAGAATGCTTTCAGCACCTTGTTGAATCAATGCAGTTCTGAAGGCGAAAGGGGGTCAAACACAGTATTAGTATGGTGTTCCTAATAATCCTTTAGGTGAGTGTATCTTTGTACTGTATGTATAATCAGCTGTGTAGTAGCTGTGAGGTTACCTTTGTATTTGGTTGTTGTTACTTTTGCCTTCTTTGTTACTGCTGGCTCTATAGTAAGAACAGGATGTAGAATAGACATTTAAGATTCATGATTCCTGTATGTCTAACGACCAGATTGGTGGTAATTTTTTTCTAGATAGCCTGACAACTCTGTTTATACTCCATTTAATAAAGCATCGGTATTGCACAGGTAAATGCAGGATCTTTTTTTATGAACTGCATTTAAATGTATGATAATATAAATGTAATTTTACATTATATATACAATAAAGTTGAAATACAATAAAATCTACCTTTCTTAGTAGAGGTAGGTTTTGCCTTTTCTTTTGTGATCACTCGCTCTGTAAAAGAGGAAATTATACGTTATTGCTCATTAATATAAAACTACTGCTACTGTAAGTCAGTTCCTGAACCATAATTACCTGTCCTTTTAGGCTTCTCCTTCACAACTGTTGGCCCTAAGTCATAAAAATGTATTTATTTATGAAAATAGATCTAAAATGGAAATTTAGCCATCATTTTTCTATTGTCCTTACTTTTCTTTGTCATTGAAGGTTTTACGTTGTCTTTAGTAACCGTGGCCTCTTGAACACATACAGTACAAATGTACAAAAACAAATATAAAGGCACAGATTCAGATGGATGGATGGATGGATGGATGGATAGATAGAGATACTGCCATTCATTTTAAACTATAGTTCTCACCCTTCTTCGCAGAAGTTGCTTTGGCTTTTTCTTTTGGTGCAGCTGGTTCTGAAATTGGAGGTCAGAGGTTATTACTTGCTTCAGGTCTTTTTACATGTCAATGTAACTGGAAATAAATACTACATCTTTACTACAGGCACTAAATCAATACAAATTACTACTATACCTTTCTTTTGAGAGTATTTTTTTGGTTTTGCCTTTGTAGCTTCCGGTTCTAAAGCAAAGGAAACATTAAATCAGATTTAACAAAATTGACAAATGGCAAATATAGAATTAAAATTCAGAAATATTATGAGATCAACACCTTTCATTACAGTAGGAGCTTGATGAGTTGTTAAAATAGGAACTTCTGATTCTGAAAAATACAATGAAAAATTTAATGTTAAAAAAGCTTGTAAAGCAGTGATGTATTAAGCATACTGAACTATTAAACATATTGAAACTGACAGATATTTCTTTATTTTTTTTAAAACTTTGACATCCACATAATTAAGTTAGTAAAAACAGACGTCAACTATCTTGATGAATGCATTTGAAATTAATTAATATAGTTTTTTTGAGTACCTGGAAAAGCCGATGGTGGTAATGGGCTACTTGTAACTATATGATGCACTGTAAGATAAAGGATAAAGAGAATTTCAGGGTATTAAAGGATGCATAAATTATGTATAAATGTGTTTTATGTTAAAGTACATTAAGTTACAGTAATAATAGGTGACTGCAATACTCACCATACCAGCCAGGGGGCGCTGGGCAATACACAGGTGTTGGTCGGCACATAGGAACTGTTTTAAGGGGTTGTGAAAAGAAAGATTCAGAGTTACAATAGACTGACTGTATATTGCGTGTTATTGCTGCTGTCTTTTTGCATTACGTGAATGTAACACATTGTGATATTAAAAAGTCACAAGGCTATGAGTTGCACTCACGCTCCTGTATCGGAGCTGGAGCAGCTGACACTTCCACGTCCTTTGAGGCTCTAGATCCTGTTATCAGGAGACGGGAAAGCACTGCTGTCATATCTTTAGATCAAACGGAATTTTAACATTTGCCATCAACTTAAAAGAGATCACCCCAAAATTCTCATGGTTAATCAAAACTTGGAAGATTTTCTTTCTTCTGTAGAACACAAAAGGAGATGTTTAGGATATTCATGCTGCTCTTTTCCATACAATGAAAATTAATGGTGACCTGGTAGGTTTGCACCAGCCATTCGTAAGTTGTTACTTAAATTGGGACCTAAAGTCCACACCAGAGGCTTAGTAACAACTAGCTACTTCGTAACTAACTCTGTATTTTATTCGACAGCACTATAGAATGTAGCTAGTAGGTTGTAAGCTCTCCGTAAAGTAAAGGTGTTGTAAACCATAACGTTCATGTCCCCGTAAGAACTGGCAATTACAACTTGTAAACTGAATTTTCAACGAATCAACTAACATTATCAATACAAAAAATGATTCTGCAGTGGCCGGTCAGGTGGTTCAGCGGTCATGTGGTACAAGTCGGTGCTCGCAGAAAATTCCCAGTTTAGGAGGTGAACAATTTTTACTAGTTGAAATCTCGTATACAGCAATTAAGTCATGCCGTAAATGCACCAGCATAACGCATAGTCACATAATATGTCGTTTACCCTCAATGATCCAATAGCAGCCTTCAAATAAGTGAGCAGAAGTTGTGTTGAAATTTCAGTTTATCCTTCAATAACTTATTTTGCCTACATAACTAATGGTAAAAATAAGTTTCCATTAAAATAGAATGGGCTACTATTTAATCATGGATAACATAAAATGTATTTTATTTGTAAATAACATTCATAAACTGTATTTTAAATGAATAAGGATCAACAAACAAATACTGATAACATAAAAAACACATTTACTTGTGACTGATTTTATTTTACATGCACAACACCGATCGATGAACACAAGAGGAGCACTATGGGTTAGTTTTGAAGAGCCGCTAACAAAGTAATTTATTCACATAATGTTCTCTCTAAGTCAACATTATCATGTCAGAAGGATTTGAAGTCTGTAAGGTAAAACAAGAGCTTATTGATGCAATTTAGTCACTCTGCTGTTTTATTCCAACCGTTACTCCTGGTCAGAGGCTTCTGTAAATATTGAATTGCGTTTCAACTAGGTTTAATGGTCCAATGCAAAAAAATATTGGCCTGGTTTCACAGACAGGGCTTAAATTAAGCCAGGATTAGGCCTTAGTTCAATGAGAACATTTAAGTAGCTTTTATAAACGTGCCTTAGAAAAAAACATTACCGATGTGCATCTTGAGACAAAACAACGGCACTGACATATTTTAAGATATATCAGTGCAAGTTGCTTTCAGTTAAAACAGCTCAAACATCCATTTTAGGCTGAGACTAGGTTTAAACCTTACTGTGAAACTGGTGGATTAAGTAGTGCGTAAAGTGTAACTTAGTACTCAAACCGCTCCGAGCGAGATTTAAACTGTGGTCTCCGGTGAGGGAGGCGCGCTAACAAGGGCCGCTAGTGTCAGTTGAGGCCAGGGGAGTGAGGTTTACTCGCACAGCTCTTACTGGCCTACGACAGTTACACTCACCCCCCTAAACCTCACTCACATCTGGGTCACGGCACCAAATGTAACCAGTCCTACTCGACCCGCTCTGGGGTGTGTTTCCCGAAAGCATGGTTAGCCAACTTACGTCGCCAGTTCCGTTGTTATCAGCATAGTTCAGCGAGTCGGTGTTTCCTGAAACCATAGTTCCCTTTCGTAGTCACTCCGAGTTACGTCGGATGACGGAGAATGGGGGTTTCGCCAGAAAGCCTATCATCTTCGAGTATTAAAAAACGAGCCTATGGCAATGAAATGCCATGGGTCTGCGGAATTTGCATAATGTATCTCCGCCCCACCGCGTGGGTATTTAAGGAGAGACACCTGCAACAGCAGATCATGTTTTCGCTTCGGAGCCAAGAGCATCTCTTCACTCCACAAGCCAAATCCTGAGTTTTCTCAATGACTACATCTCTTCGAGACGAGCGAACTCTCCGGTGTTGGTGTGACGGCGGTATCCAGCGAGTTTCACATTGCCTGCGAGCTGAGCAGTGGTCTGCCAGTCTGTGTGTTCTCCCTGGTCGCTTCAACATCCGCTGAGTTTTTCCTCTCACTAAAGAGCTGCACGCGGCACGTCTTTTTAAAGACGCGTCTTTCTAAAGACGATCTGCCCGTGTTTTTCTGAGTGTGGTATTCTGATAGATTCAGCTGATGGGCGCGAGCGCTGTTTTGAGTGTTTGGGCTTTGATCGCGCTCAGACAGCGCTCGTGGGTGTGTCACGTTCTCTCACTGGGAACGTGACCATCGCAATGCAACGGTCGAGACTCGATGAGCTCAATGAGTGAGAGTCCCCTCATCCACACCCCGATCTATTTTTCTCCACGTGAGATAATACTTCGGCTGGTGGCCAGGGTGACCTAAGACGGCAGGTTTGGAACTAAACCGACGATAAATTCCTCGGTCCACACCCCGTCTTTCACATTGCAACCTGCGTGGTCCCAGGTGAGTCTCATTCGGTCCCCCGGCTGATGAAATCATGTATCACCGCATCACAAGGTGAGCTGGAGTCCTCTAGAGATGATGGCTCGTCTGTGCTGCCGTTCTCGGATGTGCTAGCATAACGAGTTTGATCCAGAGTGCACAGCTATGCTTCCCGGGCTGCCGCGAGTATCGGGCTTGTGTGGAACCTTCTGCCATGTCCCGAGCACTTAAGGCTGTTGATTGGTTTTTGGGGGTGGCGAACCCAAATCCTTTCTACCCGGACGTGCATGAAGAGATCATGAGATCGTGGAAGTCTCCTTGACTTTTCGCGACTGCTCAGTGGCCTCTTCCGCCTTCTCTGCCCTTGTAGAGGCCGCGGCCTAGGGTGCACTGGGGTTCCCCCTGTGGAGTGTTCTGTGGCAACACTTATGTGTCCCCACAGCACCTCCACCTGGCATGGCGACTCTTAAGCACCCCTCCAATGCCTGTAGGTTCTTGTCTACTCCGGTGGTGGGGACCTATAGAGCTGCGGGGCAGGCTGCCACCTCACTGCGTGTTATTGCCATCCTCCTGGGTGTTCAATGACATGCACGAGGGTAGGGCTGATTCAGGGCTCATCCTTGAGCTGCCTGCCGTCACCGACCTTGCTCTCCGAGCGACGTAGGTGACCGCACGCTCCCTGAGTCAGGTGATGTCCACATAGGTGGTCAGACACCTCTGGCTAACCTGGTTGATGTGCGAGAGGCTGAGTGATTTCGTTTCCTTAACTCCCCCATATCCCAGGCTGGCCTCTTCGGCGGCGCGGTCGAGGACTCTGCCCAACAGTTCTCGGCCGCCCAGAAGTGGACTGTGGCTATTTTGTCTGACCCCGCGGCTTTGCTGCCTCAAGCTGCCGGCTCAGACGCCTCAGTCCGCTTGCTGCCGAATGCGCCCTCCTGCGACTTCCGCCCCCTCCCGCCCGGCCCCCAGCAGCACCGGGCCGCGCCATGGAGGTGGTCGCAGGAAGGCGCCCCTGCCCGTACCGGTCCCGCAGCCCCGCCAAGGCCAGGCTTGCGGCGCTCCCGTTACGGGCAGCTCAGATGTGGGTTGCAGTTCTTCAGGGAGTGGTTGCAGGGAGTTTCCCCCGGTGGAGGGCTGGGGGAGAATCTTTTCTAAACCAAATAGCTGCATCCCATCTCTGAGCCCTCAGAGGGCCGGACGACAGTGTGCGACGCTCCCGGGCCTTGCCGCTCTCGTCCCCCTCTGTCTCTGAGGGCGCGGATGACAGTGTGTGCCGTCTCCGGACCACACCACTCTCGTCCCCCTCTGTCGCCAGACCCCTGGCAGAGTAGACCCCCGTGGAATGCTGGTCCTTCCCTGGTCTCCTCTGACAGGACGCGGAGCATGACCGTGCCCCCGCACCGGGCCGCTATGCCACCCACGCCTGGGCCGGTCACTCCGCTTCGCTGCCCCTCCGGGGGGACGTCTGTCGTTCGGATGTTTCCGCTCGTTCAGTTCTTGGGAGCTTGGTTAGAGCTTCCCTACCTGTCCCGCTCGGTCGCCCGAACTATCAGGCTCGGCTATGCGATCCAATTCGCACGGTCTCCTCCCCGCTTCAGGGGAGTCCATTTACTTTGGTCGGTGGCAATGCCCCGATCATGAGAGCGGAGGTTGCCACCCTGCTGGCGAAGGGTGCAATCGAGACTGTCCCTCCAGCCGAAATGAGGTCAGGGTTTTACAGCCCGTCCTTCATTGTCCCCAAGAAGACCGGTGGGTTACGGCCAATCCTGGATCTGCGCGTCTTGAGCCGCTCCCTTCACAGGCTGCCGTTCAGGATGCTCACGACCAAACGCATTTTCGAATGCGTGCGGCCACAGGATTGGTTTGCAGCGATAGACCTGAAGGACGCCTACTTTCATGTCTCCATTTTACCTCGACACAGACCGTTTCTTCGGTTTGCTTTCGAGGGGCAGGCATACCAGTACGCAGTTCTCCCATTCGGGTTGGCTCTGTCTCCTCGCGTCTTTACGAAGGTCGTCGAGGCAGCCCTTGTTCCCCTGCGCGAACACGGGGTTCGCATCCTGAATTACCTCGACGACTGGCTAATATTAGCTCACTCTCGAGTCCAGGTTTGCGAACACAGAGACCTAGTGCTCCGGCACCTAGCCCGTCTGGGCCTTCGGGTCAACTGGGAGAAGAGCAAACTTTGCCCCGTGCAGAGGATCTCTTTTCTCGGTATGGAGATAGACTCCGCGCAGCTTACGAGCCATGTCCGCGCAGCTTACGAGCGAGCGCGCACACTCACTGCTGACTTGTCTTCGACAGTTCGAGGGCAAGAGTGCGGTCCCACTGAAACTTTTTCAGAGGCTCCTGGGGCATATGGCATCCGCAGCCGCGGCAACGCCACTCGGATTGCTTCATATGAGACCGCTTCAGCTGTGGCTTCGCGATCGGGTCCCGAGGTGGGCATGGCATCGCGGTACGCTCAGAGTTCCAATAACTCTGACCTGCCGTCAGTCCTTCACCCCGTGGCGGAACCTCAGCTTTCTACGGGCCGGAGTTCCCCTAGAACGAGTTTCCAGGCATGTTATTGTCTCCACAGATGCCTCTGCCACGGGCTGAGGCGCCATGTGCAATGGACATGCAGCCGTGGGCTCCTGGACAGGACCCCAGCGCCTCATGCATGTCAATTGCCTCGAGTTGCTGGCAGTACGCCTTGCCCTGCACCGCTTCCACGCGCTGCTCCAGGGTCAACACGTACTTGTCCGTTCGGACAATACCGCGACAGTAGCGTACATCAACCATCAGGGTGGTCTACGCTCTCGCCGTATGTCGCAACTCGCACGCCACCTCTTATGGAGTCAGAAGCACCTGAGGTCCCTTCGTGCTATTTACATTCCAGGAGAGCGGAACCTTGCAGCCGACGAGCTGTCACGCAACCTCTGGCGAATGGCGACTCCATCCCCAGTCGGTCCAGCTGATATGGGACCAGTTCGGGGACGCACAGATATATCTGTTTGCCTCCCACGACTCATCCCATTACGCCCTGTATTACTCCTGTCCGAGGGCACGCTCGGCACGGACGCACTGGCGCACAGCTGGCCGCAGGGCCTACGCAAATATGCGTTTCCCCCAGTGAGCCTTCTCGCACGGACTCTGTGCAAGATCAAGGAGGACGAGGAGCAGGTCATATTGGTCGCCCCATACTGGCCCACCAAGACCTGGTTCTCCGAACTGATACTCCTCGCGACAGCACCTCCTTGGCCAATTCCTCTGAGGAAGGACATCCTTTCTCAGAGACGGGGCACCCTATGGCACCCTCGTCCCGATCTTTGGAGACTCCACGTGTGGCTCCTGGACGGGACGAGGCAGGTTTGAGTACCCTGCCACCTGCGGTGGCGGCTACCATCCCTTCCGCTAGAGCGTTGTCCACGAGACACGTCTACGCGTTGAAGTGGAACCTCTTCGTCAACTGGTGCTCTTCTCGGCGAGAAGACCCCAGGAGATGCTCGATCGGTGTCGTGCTTTCCTTTCTGCAAGACGGGCTGGAGCGAAGGCTGTCTCCCTCCACCCTGAAGGTGTATGTGGCCGCTATCGCCGCTTATCACGATGCAGTTGAAGGTAAGTCTCTGGGAAAGCACGACCTGATCATCAGGTTCCTGAGAGGAGCGAGGAGACTGAATCCTCCTCGCCCTCCTCTCGTACCCTCTTGGGACCTCTCAGTGGTCTTATATGCCCTGCAGAGGGCTCCCTTTGAGCCTCTGCAATCAGTGGAGATTAAGTTCCTGTCAATGAAGACAGCGCTCCTGGTTGCACTGGCCTCCATCAAGAGGGTGGGGGATCTGCACGCACTCTCCGTTGACGAAGCGTGCCTGGAATTCGGGCCGGCCTGCTCTCACGTGATCCTGAGACCCCGGCCTGGATATGTGCCCAAGGTTCCCACCACTCCCTTCCGGGACCAGGAGGAGGCAGACCCAGCCTTGGCACTGCTCTGTCCAGTACGCGCCCTCCGTGCTTACGTAGACAGGACGCAGTGTTTCAGGACCTCAGACCAGCTCTTTGTCTGTTATGGTGGGAAGCTGAAGGGAAAGGCTCTCTCCAAGCAAAGGTTATCCCACTGGATAGTGGACGCCATTGCTTTGGCATACCAGCAGCAAGGTCGACCTTGCCCCCTTGGTGTGACCGCCCACTCCACCCAGTGTGGCGTCCTCTTGGGCTTTAGCGCGTGGCGCTTCGCTAACAGACATCTGCAGAGCTGCAGGCTGGGCGACACCCAACACTTTTGCCAGATTTTACAATCTCCGAGTGGAGCCAGTCTCCGCCCATGTACTGTCTTTTTCAAGCTAACATGGGAGCCGTTAGGTGTCTCGCTTGCTCGCCATTCCAATCCACGGACTGGATACGTGCGATATTTCCTCAGGTAGCCTTCCTCTCTGAAGCCCTGAGTTCCTCCAGCACTGTTGACGCTGGCGCCAGTGTCTTTTGCCTGTGCGTCGGCTAGGTGCCTCCGTGTGCATGGTTCCTCCTCTGAGTAACCCCCACATGTGTATTTCCACTGTAAGCCTCTTTGAGCATGTGTCTTTCCCTCGGCAAGCCACCTTGCCACTCCTGGAGTTGAAAGTTGCCACCCCACGGGCTGGTTACTCCAGTGTTCCTCCATATGAAGCCCCCTCGGCCTTATGTGTATTCTTAAGTCCTCCCTTTGGGTAGGCATGCTGCGGCATATCTCCCCTGAGATATGCTTCCCAGTGTACCTTGGTATTCCTGTGTTAAGTAGGACTCCTTCGTCCGTGCCTATACCACGACAGGGAGGGCAGACTTCGCAGGGCACTGGAAGACAGCTGTGAAGGTGGCGTGATTACACGGGGACCCCCATTCTCCGTCATCCGACGTAACTCGGAGTGACTACGAAAGGGAACGTGTCGGTTACGGATGTAACCCTCGTTCCCTGAGTAGGGAACGGAGACGTTACGTCTCCCTGCCACTTCCGCTGTACCGCTGGGTAGACGCCTGAGTTCAGTCTCGGCTCCTCAGCGAAGACATGATCTGCTGTTGCAGGTGTCTCTCCTTAAATACCCACGCGGTGGGGCGGAGATACATTATGCAAATTCCGCAGACCCATGGCATTTCATTGCCATAGGCTCGTTTTTTAATACTCGAAGATGATAGGCTTTCTGGCGAAACCCCCATTCTCCGTCATCCGACGTAACGTCTCCGTTCCCTACTCAGGGAACGAGGGTTACATCCGTAACCGACACGTTCTAACGTACATTCGCAAACAGCATAAAGTTGTGTGGTTGGAATGACAGCTCTCGACCTGTAGAGCGTAAGAACGAGCCTATGATTGAATAGAAATATTTCTCAGATGCCATTTCCGTAATTTATAGCAAAATATCTAGCATTAATTCGATCTCAAACAGATTCATTAAAAGTAGTTATTACTCCACCACCAGCGTGACATCATTAACCAAAGTGGTTGAACGACCAATTTGTGACAATACCGTTTTGGGAAACAGTCGTGACTAGCTAGTTGATTTATTCAACGATGATGCAGAGGCCAGGGCAGTGAGGTTTACATGCACAGCTCTTACTGGCCTACGTTCTTATCTATGGAAAAGAGCCTGTGAACATTCAGCAAAATATTTTGTGTTCTACGGAAGAAAGAAAGTCACACAGGTTTGGTGCAACATAAGGGTGACTATATAATGACAGACCTTTTATTTAAGGTGAACAATCACTTTAAATAAGTATAATGTGTGATCAGATCATGTGAGCTTACTTCTCTTTTTGAGTTTGCTGTCAGCCACTGCCTTTGCTTTTGGAGCTGTGGACCAGAGAGCAAATATTATGTCAAGTCTTAAATATTCATGGCTATTATAACAAAATATTTGAAACAATTCTTTCAGTGCATGATGATAAAAAAAGCAGGAACACATTGTGCTACCTTTCTTTGCTTTCTCTAGTCTTGTTCTTGGAGCCTCTCTTTCTGGTGAGCAAATGTTAGTGAGGAGGTGAAAGAAAAAAGCCTTTAGTGCAATATTCTTACACAAACAAACTCCACGTCTAGATTGAATATACGACTGAATATACTGTACCTTTTCTCTGTTTAAGCAGGGGCTCCTTTCTCTTGGTCTCGACTTCTGGTAAGGGGGGAAAAAAACATTAAACAACAAAAACATTTCTTCCTGATCAAAACATATATCAGTATCTCTCCAAATATGTATTAGTATCTCCAAATGTGTTCCTACAAATTTGCTCAGCTAAAAATACGTTTTCGAACTTTCATTGCTTCAAAAGCATTGAATTTATGAATAAATTCATTTTCTGACTTGAAAAATTTGGATTTTTTTTAAATGTCCCATAATGCTGTTGGCTCTGCTTTTTAATAGTTTATTGCCTTATTGATTAGTCTATTTTATCCATTTTGCTAATATAACTGAACAAATTGATCTTTTCAAGCATACATAAATATGCTTTATCAATATATTAGTCTAACTACTTCAAGTTAATAGTTTTGCACATGCTTGTTGAGTTGTGCTGCTAAAACAAGCAGTTTACTGTAGAAATCGACAGTTGCCTGCTTGAACTTAACCAGCTTTAATCAAACAAAACAATGCATCACATACAGTATGTCTACTCCTGCGTTCAAGGCTGACTCTTTTAGCTGTGACATGAAAAACAGTCAGACATGAATCAAACCAGACGGCTTTGTTTAGAGAGGGAGAGAGAGAGAGAGAGTTTAAAACTGTGTGCAGCAACAGGTCACTTGATGTCTAAATCAATCACACTGTCCTAAGAGTGTTCTTGTAAAAAAGCATGTGCCGGATTGATCAGTAGCCATGATTAATATTGCAATATATTATTATCACACTAGAGCTGAAATACTCTGTCAAGAATCCTAAATGTTGGGGTTTTGATTTAAAAAAATAACATCTAGATTAACAGATATGCACCAGGGGGCACTATTGTGTTTGTCAAAGTTATTGGAAGTGAGAAAAAAAATACAGCTATTTTACTGATATAAGATCCTCAGTGATGTCCTCTAAAACAGATTGCTATATTATTATAGGTCATAGAGGAGATCATGGGTTATATTTTTCATTAATTTACTATGCTTTGAAAGTCGAACTAAGCTAAGATGAGCAAAAATAGACAGTCTAACAGATCATATTGTATCTACAATACACGTTTTATATTCATTTATGTTCATAGAACTGTTGTATAAAAGTCTGTGGCCTCATACTTACAAACTTAATAATGTCTAAATTGCTACTTGAAAAGCTACTCAGTTCAACTTAAACTGCTCTATACTGTTTAATTCAATATACTATCACTATCAATACCTATCAAGGCCAATTTTAATTCTGAATACTTGAAGACATACATTAAAAGTATCTATTGTTTGCTTCTTGTAGTGGTCAGTCAGTAAATGTATAACAAGCAGTTATAACAGCTGGAAGTCTTTTCTGGAATAAAAGTACCTCTTTTCTTCACTTTATCAGGTTCAGCTGGAGGAAAAACGGATAAAAAGGACAACGAGTTACTGCAGAGCTTTAATTCATCTCACTAGATGGCGACTCTGAGTGGACACATTTGTTTGCTTACTACATAACATAATATAAGAGAAATGTGTCCCACATACAGAGAGAGCACATACAATAAAAATGACTTAATAAAGCTCATTAAAGCCCCATGAAACATAGCCTGTTTTTTTATATAGGCTACCATCCATATTTTATTGTAAAATAAATGTAATATAAATACTTTAAGTAGAAAGCAGTATGATGAGTTTACAGTAAGGAGTAAGGGTCATTAAGAGCAAATATATCTAAAGTGAACTAATCCAAATATGAAATTACCCATATGATTCATATGTGCACATACGCATAATTTACAATCCTTGTTCCGTGTGTATGCATGCATGTTATCTTGATCAATTCACAGTACACCCACACCTTCAGCCACTACAATACCACTGATGCATATATGCCTAGGTACATATCATTCACCAATCAATGATTATATTTTAAGCATGCAAAATATTAAATACCTCTTGGTCAGTTGTTTTTGCATGAAGAGCTCACAAAATGTGTTAGAACAAAGACATTGGCATGTCTCTGATCTATGCTTTAGACATGGCCAGTGTGATTTGCTATAAAATGGCTCTGTTATGCAGAAAATATGCCCATGCTTTTTCTTTTTGTATTTTAAAACAACATGCATGATATTGACCTTGCAAGTCAATACCAAATACCTTTTTCTTCCTTTGGTTTAGTGTCTTGGGCTTTTTGAGGATCTTTATGTATTACTGAATGCATACAAGGACATGTAGAGGGCTCTTTTTGTTTGTCTGGATACAAACAAAAGCAAAATAGTGAGTGTCAAGACTACAGTGATCATTTCATTTTCCTGCCTATTTTAGCCGTCTTTGGTTCATATGAATCATCGGCTGTGACGTTATTGTGTTTTGTTTTTAGTTTTTTTGCTTGCACAGGCAGACCGAAACCAATACCAATACCGAAACCAAATCAATTGCAAAAATCCATTAAATACAAAAATGATTATGATGTAAATGAATTTTTTTTTTGAGAAACTGTTAAAAAAAAAGACAGTCTAATGAGCAATGTATTAGATTAGCCGTGTTTAAATCAACACAGGATGATAAAGATCACATTGGCAGCTAAACACAGAGATAAATGTCTTCTACAGCTTAATATATTGATGTCATTATCTTTAAAACCCATAATAGCTTATACCATCAGAGACCAATGCCAGAATTTATGTCCATAAATCAAAATGTTATTACTAAAATTAATTTTTAAAGTGGTGGTAGTAAATCACAGGATACAAATATGACACCTTCATTATAAGTTTGGATTGCATAAATTTGTCAGAATTAATGTGACATGTTATGATTAAATGCCACCCCATCAGTAAAGAGATTGGATTATTACAACAAGAAGGAAGCCAGCTAAAAATAAAAACAGGTTGACAACCCCGCCAACAAACGGAGATTAACAATAATGGCAAATGGCTGAGAAGCAGGGAAATGTTTTTAGCAGCTGCAAGAATTCCAAGAAGTCTCTTTGAATAATAATTGAAATTCAAAAAGCCGGTTTTGATTGTGTTGCTTACATGCTCGCGGGGAATTACAGGGAGGTGTCATTCAAAATGCCTTTAACCTAAAATGCAAATGCCATTTTTGATATCAGTCGACCCTGCAGCCGAGTACATGATCTGTGTTATTAAAACAGCATGCATTCTTTCTTCCTTCGTTTTCTCACTGACCTTTGGCGCAGAAGTTTATTAGCTAATAAAATGCATTTACTCTTGATTGATTAAGATCAGCAGGGGCATTGGAAGTTGTAAGATAGGATATTATCCCTATGACTTTGAATTGCCATTGAAACTTCATATAGCTAGTGTAACTAGGCACTATCTGCACTGGTTTAGTGCTGCTCCATGTGCATTTAAAGTCACTGTCATTATTTTCTGCGCAAACAAGCTGGAGGTGAAAATGAGTTCAGTTTACAAGTATAATATAAATCAAATAAAATAAAATATTTGTTTGTTCATGTTCTCACAACATTGCATTTTTAGAATTCCTAAAAATGTTCCCGGCGCTTGGCGAGTGTTCATTTTAGGCCCCATATACAGTAGGCCTATATAATATATATAGCAGCCTGTTCTCACGTAAATGCGTCTCTATTGCACGCATTGTGTATTATCGTGCAATTTATACGCGAAAATGGGTTTTTACGATACGCAGTTTTTGCTTGCATTTGATACGCAGTTCATTTGCGTGTAATACACACGCACCCCACACCACTAACTCTACCCAAACGTATAAAACACATGCACCCCACACCACTACTAAACCTACCCTAACCAACCCATGCGTATCCTATGCACGTAAAAACTCATTTTCGCGTATAAATTACACGATAAACACACTGCGTGCTATGGAGACGCATTTAGTGTGATCGGGTTGATATATATATATATATATATATATATATATATATATAATGTTTCCTAATTTAAAGAAAATAGCAGCACTTACACTGTAATTGTGTACCGACCTTCTTTTTCAGTCTTTGCCACCGGTTTCTCTGCTTCTTTTTCCTTCACTTCTTCAGCTGTTTTAAGAAATAAAACCAACAAAACAAAAGGTGAGTCTTACAGCCCAGAAAGTAAATAGAAAGACAAAAGACACAGACTTGTACTTGATTACACACACACACACACACACAGACACACACACACACACGCAAACTTTGATGTTCAGATCTTTTTGTACTTTGTTTGTGCTTTCTGTGAAGACTGTTCAACCCCATGGGTCAAAATGGATCTCTTCAAGTTCCACATTTTTGCTCTCTCTCCCCTACTAGCAGGCTTCTTTCTCTCAGCAGGGATTTATTTTGTTGTGTGAAATATATCTAATGATGTTCTTGATAGAGGAATGACAGAGTATCTGCTGCTTGCCTGCAGGCAGGGCAGAGATTCTCTTTTTTTTTCTGGCCTCCTCTCTGCAGTAAATGGAATGGGATGATGTTATTGCTGTAATTTTCTTTGGAGCACAACATTTTAAAGAACTAAAGCACTAAAGTCAAAAACAAGCGAGTTAAACTTGTCAATAAAACAGACCAGCGGGACAAAACCCTTTGATATTTTTAAGAATATTTACAAATATACATATATTTTTATGGTGGGGTCAAAGTATAAACATATTAAAATATTATCATATTGCTGCCTCCAATTTACTGAATAATAGTGAATTAAAAATCAAATCAAATACTTTATAGCAACACCTAAGCGAGGTGATCAGGGATGTAGCTGTGGAAATGTAATGAAAGCATAGCTGAAATTGTTTTGATTTTTTCTATCACTTTCAACAGCTGGAGTTTAGTGAGAGATCTATCATTTAATATATATCATACATAAGAGCACCGATGGTCACCGTGATTTTGCCAAGTAAGAATTGTTCCTGGATCAACATCTTTTGTTGATCTTTGAACAACAAAAACATATAGTCCTAACCCTATCCTTACCCCTAAACCAAACCCTACCCATACCTTATCCCTAAAATCAGAGGGAAATGATAAAAAAAAAAAAAAAAAAAAAAAAAAAATTGGTATAAGAAAGCCCCTAACCCTTGCTATAAGCTAAACTTGACATCCACTGTAAACCTATCCTTCAAATCTGACTGGTTGATTGGAATTTTGAAAGGATGTTGATCCAGGAATATGCTCTACTTGTTGAAATCACATTCAAAAAGCAACAGTAAAAGCGAGAAAATAGAGAAGGAATGTTTCCTCGCCGGACAGCCCACAGGCAGATCTGTGGAGTCATGAGGTGGACTGAGCTCAAGGCTGAATAACAAAGAAATGATTTCATTTCACTTCATAAAAGCAGTGGTCAACTTGAGATCTGCATAAGCCATATTAAATTCAGCATATAAATGCCCACAAACTTGACATACATTTGTAATGTTCATTGCACAAACTGCAGGAGATTGAATACAAATCAATATCAGATTTAACTGAAAAGTAAAGTTGGTCAAGACAAACTTTGATTGTTGTCTTGACAAAACCTTGTCTAAATGTTTAATTACAAATATACAGTTAGCAATTGCTTATAGCTACAGTACACCACCAGCAACAACCTAGCAATGGCCCTGCAACAAATCAGACCTGAACAATGCCCTGTTTACAGCTGGTTTTGGTCGCTCGGATCACAAGTAGAGGCAGATACATACCCGTTGACACACTGTCTCTTTTGTCCACTTTCAATCACTTCTGTCCTGATTTCTTCAAGGGGAGGGTCTATGGGTGGGTAAACGTATGTTTTTTTTTCAGATCTTTCGTTCTAATGGACAAAATAAGGTGAGAAGCGTCTCGCTGCAGCCTGCGGTGGACATCCATCCAAGCCTACATCCAAGTGTGACGCCTATGTCCAAATATGTCACATTCTTATTAGCGTGATTTTTTCCCCAAACCAGTTGCAAAATTCACTCTCACATGGTGTTTGAACAGAAATGTGTGTTGGCAGTGTGTGTACACAACCACCCTATAATGGTAAAAATCCATCCACTCCTTTTTTTTAATCCCCATAAATCATAAGTACTGTCTCAGAACAAGCCGTTCGCAGATTCTATACCTTTTGTGATGTCAAAAAATGCCTGCCCACATCCAATGCCACACTTGGACGTGGACAGGGTTGGGTGTCCAGAGCAGCATTCAACGAGCCCTACTTTTGATAAGCTTGCGCAATTTACATATGAACACACCCGGAGACATTGGAAAAACATACGGAGAGCAGCAGCTTTCGTTTCTGCTCTGATAGCCGCACGACCACGCCGAACGCTGTGAGTGCGCGTTAGAAATCAGGAATGGTGAGACAACATTGAGCTTGGTACGTTTTTCGTCTTCAAACCAAACTTGTCCTCAGCAGACAAAGTTTAAATCCCGTCTGGCTAGCGCACTTCCCATAATGTTTACGCTTTAGGCCAGTAGGCGGAGAGTATAGGCAGTCTTTTGTGGATCTTCGAACACATGAGCGTTTACACTACGAAAGCAAATTCGCATTCAGTCAAATGTGTTTTCGACTACCTCTGGGGCCCTCTTTACACCTGGTATTAAAATGCGTTTTGGTCAATCACAAGTGGACAACGCTAAATACAGTGGTAAACAGGGTCTAAAACGTTTTGAGCTTGTCCACTTTCGACCACTTCCAGAGGTAGTTGAAAACACATTCGACCGGATTGCTTTCATAGTGTATATGCTCATGTGGTCGAATGTGGATAGAACCTTTTAGACCCCATTTACACCAGTATTTAGCGTCGCCCACTTGTGATCCAATCTACGAAAACACATCTTAATACCAGGTGTAAACAGGGCCTTAGTTACTCCCTAGTGACGCCCTAGCTATCAATCAAAGATTATTTATAAACCATTTAACCATGGTTGCTTGAGTGTTCTTGAATTGACAACAATGACCTTTTCTCCTTAACCATATGTATTCGAAACTCTCTGTACAAGTATCAGTACCGGTACTTCATATATAGTGCAGTGTAGGCTCCGTTTCGCCGTGTTCCACTGTTGTCTCTGCAGGTACATCCAAGTACACCTCATTCTCTTATTCTCAGGCAGAAGAACTAGCAGTGCTCTGAACTCATCTCAGCTCTGAGTCTGTGATACTGCTGTGTCATACACTGTCTCAGCACGGGATTAGATTTCCATCCTGCAATACACACATTGCTTTATCCCCAATCTCCTCTCCAGATTTTAATCTTATACCCAGTAGGATATTTTGCCCTCCGGAGGAATTCAGAAAAATTGTAGTTCAACACCATATCAATAAATCAAATAGCAGGAATAATTTGAAAGGGAGGAATGCATCTCACTAGAAGAAAGTCATATTACAGAGGCCCTTGTGATCTTTGTGCTTTTATTTCATGTTGATTTTAACATGGCCGAGGTTATACCTTTTTATACTTTTAGTGCATTATTAATGATTTCGTGGTGTTCAGCCAAATAACTCTAGAGGCTGACGCTACCTTAACCTTTTTTTCTTCCCTCTCTTTTGAGGACCTCACATATGCAGAAAAACTGTTGAGGTAAATTGAAAAATTATGCCAAAGAGTAGTTTTGGGTACATTGGCTTAAACTTTAGTTTGTATTACTAGCACTTCTCAAGTTTATGGCCTCTTTAAGATTTCCTCTTTGCTTGTTGTATTCCTCATTTGTAAGTGTTTTGGATAAAAGCATCTGCTAAATGAATAAATGTAAATGTATAGGTTATTTGTTATAAGTTCAGTTGCAAAAATGTTCTTTTTACCAAACTAGTAGACACACACCAGCCTCATCCTATTGATCCTACTGTTGTGTAGTAGATGGGAAAATGAGCCATCAGAAAGTCTTTGGAGATCAAAGTTTGAGTCCTAAGGGTCTTCTCAACCCTCACATCTCTCACCACACACACACTCATGCCCTCTTCTCCCCTCATCCACCACCATCAGACCTCTGCATGTTGTATAGAACTCCACAGTCAATAACCTTGGAGCTTATTAGTGTTGGCATAATTTTCTCATTTTAATTCTGGTTCATTTTATATGCTTCATGCAAGCAAACTGTTGCCATGTTTGTTACCTTTAGGGACCGGTTCTGGTTCTAGTGCTTTTTCCTCTGCACTTTCTTCCTTTTCATCTTTTTCCTCTTCTTGCAGGGTTGTTATGCCTTTGAAAGAAAAGAAAACATATTTATAAGGCTTGCCAGATAGATCACAAGAAGTCTTTGTGATTTTATTTCGAATCTATCAAGTCTTTAAAGCCTTCAGTAACCATTCAAATTCAATTAATGTGATAAAACAGAAATTTCTACTTTCAACATTTACATACAGCATTTTGAAAACAGACTATACCTTGAACTGTTTCTTCCATGTCCACATCCTCTTTGGCGTCAGAAGCTGTTGTATCACATAGATGAGTTACACACATGATAAAGTCAGCAGAGGCCTTAATGGGTAACAATTTATTTTCATTTGACCTATTATTCTTGAACTCTGCCAAGCAATTTTGGCGCAGCTAAGATTTTCCCTTTGTTGTTGGGTAGATTGCATTAGTGTTTTACAAAGAGATATAATCAGATTTAATTTACATACAGAACATTTTTTTCAATTATTGTATTGAGGCTGATCCTTCAAAATTCATTAGCAACATCACTAGCGAGTTAAGAGCTGGAACAGTTGGTTTAGATTTGCACAGAGTGGATTATCAAATCAGCTAAATTAGGTTAGCAGGGTAAAGTCAAGCAGCCCTATTTTAACGACCATTAGTAAAAAGCACAAGCGGTATAAATTATCTGAGAAAATAGCTTAATAATTAATTGCTTTATGCACTATAAAACAATGACTATGACCACTATTCTTTACTACTTACTCATTTAAGCCACTGTAACCAATTTTGACCTTCATTTAGCTTAGTTTCCTATTTTTTTCCTTGATCATCTAACCTTGATACCCTTGAATGACCTCTTTCGAGACAACCGCTTGGTGACAGTTCACATGAAAGCAGTCTCTCGTGGATTCTAACCGTTTCACTGGCAGCTGAACAGCAATGCACCAGCTGCTGTTCTTTGATCCACCCAGCAAGAACTTCAATTAAATTAGAACTCAAATGGGGTCCTTTCCTACCAGCGTATTTGGGTATGTATGGTAGCAAACTTAGACTAAACTATTTTTGTGTGACAGCAAAGTGACGTCTAAATGATTATTGGTTTTGGCTAAAATTGAGCAAACCTTTGGTTAAAAAAAAGCAAATTTAGTCAAAAGTGATCAGTTGACTTAACTTAAAAAAAGTGGGGAAACCCGTTGCCTTAAAATTAAGTAAATGAGGTTCATGTGTAATTAAAAAATTTAAGTTACATGAACTTGACAATTCCACATAACTTATTTTTTTTTCAATCATGCATGGTTTCTTTACTTAATAATTTGAAGGCAACAGGTTTCCTCTTTTTTTTTTAAGTTAAGTCAACTGATCACTTTTACAGTGTTGCAGACTGATATAACAATTAGTGATGGGAATCATAAAGAATTCTTGAATTTTTTTTGCTAATGATTATGGTTCCTTAATGGTTCCATCAAGTATTATTTTAGTACTTGTAAAGAATGTGATGTTGCTGCCAAATGATATAAAACAAATGATTTAAAACAGTTTTTGAAAAAGGTGTTTACACAAACTTTGTTTATTTTAAAGGTTTTTAAATGATTTTTATTAATAATTTTGCCTTAAATATGATAAAATCAATACAATACTAAAAAAACAAAAATGTGTAAACAAATTTCATTCATTATTTTTATAAAATACTACTGACAAAACGTACTAAAAATAAATTCACTATAGTGAATCGACTAAAAAGAGAGTCATTTGTTCGGGAATCAGACTACACTGGTTGTGCTGCACGTTTTTTGATTCACTAACAAGAACCAGCTCGAAGTGATTCTTTTGGGAATCAAACTACATTGGTCGCGCTGTTTGTTTTGCAATGTAGATTCAGTAATGATGCTGCAGTGCCAGTGAAAAAGTTCAGGAAACTCTGTCAGAGTATTTTAGTATGGTGTTCCGACTGCATCCAAATGCATGTGTGAAAACTGCAGAAACAAAACATTATTTTGGTTCCATATTTTTTTTATCACAGTTCCCAACCCTAAAATCACTGGCTGCAAGATTATCTGTCATTTTGCCATGAACACATTTTTGAAAAACAAACAAACCTTTCGGAGTCAATAACAAAAAATATTTTTGGTACCTTTCTCAGGTGAAGAGCCATCATCTTCATCAGCCACCACTGTTGTCTCATCTCCACCTGGTTCGGAACTAACTACAGGTGCTGTTACTATAATACCATCATCATCCTCCCCACTTATCTGTTCATCTCCCTCCTCTTTTCCCTCTGCCTCCTGCTCCTCCTTATCTGCAACATCATCAGCTAGCTCAGGCTCCTCAGTAACACCCTCACCTTCACTTGTTATATCTTTTTCAGAGTCAGCGTCTTTCAGCCCAACACCAGTCTCATCTTTAAGACTGTCTTTTACACCCTCACCTTGATTGTCAGCTAGTTCTTTAGCTATCTTATCATCATGGTCATCAGATGGGATATCAGTAGCGCTTAAGCCATCTTGTGAGTCAGCTCTATCAGCTACAGCGTCGTCAGCTTTAGCAGCACTCTCCTCTATGGGTGTTAATATCTCTGCATCACCATCAACTTTAAGTATAGGTTCCTCACCAATTTCCTGAGCTTCAACATCAGTGACTGTAACACCATCTTCTGCTATGCTACCAAGCACAATGGGGATATCAGCCTCCTGGACATCATCGTCATCATCTTTCTCCTCACTTTGGTCATCTTTTTGGTTATCATCAGTATTGTCATCGTCTGTAGTAGGAGCCAATTTAATGGCTAATTCTTCTTTATCATCTTCTTCCTGAGGTGGTTCTTCGTGGCCAGCCTCCCCACCCTCAAGAACATCTTCTGCTTCTTTGATATCTTTAGAGGAGGAATCATCAGCTACAACTTCAACATCATCGTCGTGCTCTTCTGTGGGCAAAGGTGGGAGGATTTCAGCATCAGATATTAGATCATCTATGGCGCCATCTTCGTCCTCCTCTTCTGCCTTGCTCGATTCATCATCCTGATCATCTAGTGATGTAGTAGGAACCTTTTTATCTGCATCAGTTCTGTCTTTCTCCTCCTCATCATCTTCAGCTGCCTCAGCTTCTTTAGAGGTGACAAGTTCTGCAGCTTCATCTTTCTCCTCATCGGGTTCGGCGGGGATGGAAGCATCTTCCTTTTCGGGAGCAGCAGAAGCAGCAGCAGCCTCCTCTTCATCTTCATCTTCCTCCTCAGCATTAGCTTCCTCTTTCTCCTTTTCTTCAGCCTCATCTTCTTTTCCCTCCTCCTCCTCTTCCTCCACAGCCTCCTTTGCTGCTGCTGCTTCCTCCTCTTCATCTTCCTCCTCAGCATCAGCTTCCTCTTTCTCCTTTTCTTCAGCCTCCTCTTTTTTTCCTTCCTCTTCCTCGTCAGGCTCCTCTGCTGCTGCTTCCTCCTCTTCATCTTCCTCTTCCTCCTCATCATCAGCTTCCTCTTCGTCCTTTTCTTCAGCCTCCTCATCCTTTCCCTCCTCCTCCTCCTCTGCTGCTGCCTCCTCTTCATCTACCTCTTCCTCAGCATCAGCTTCTTCTTTCTCCTTTTCTTCAGCCTCCTCTGCTGCTTCCTCCTCTTCTTCATCTTCCTCTTCTTCAGCAGATTCTTCTTCCTCCTCAATCTCCTCACCATCTTCTTCTTCATTATCCTCTTCTTCTTCCTCCTCCACCTCTTCGTCATTAGCCATCTCATCTTCCTCCTCTTCCTCCTCGTACTCCCCTTCCTCTTCTAAGATCTCCTTGGCCCGTATCTCTGCAACTATATCATTAGGTTGTCAGAAATGTCAGTGAAGCTGTAGAGAGTGTGGGGTTCAAACCCCACAGGATGAGACAGATTCAAAATAATTTTGGCTAGACATACACAATTCAGTGCATAACATATAATCAGATAGATGATGCATATTATCTATTTTACTGTGACAGCATCCATTTAGAAGTATGATATTAGATAGTAGAATACTTAGAAGACATGCAAACGAATATTTTTTTTTTTTTAAGTACAACTGTTGATGCACAAAGGAGCTCTGCATTTTGCTCATAGCTTGATGAGACCTCTTAATGATACAAAATATTGTCAGAATAACAAATTGTCCAAACTTTTGTGGCTTTTAAGGTTCGGTTGCATTTACTGTTGCTTGGAAAATGTTTGAACCAAAAACAAGTATCAACTAGAATCCACACGACTGAATTTTATGTGAGGGCGAAAAATTTCCCCATGCAGATTTTGTAAGGATTTCAAGTTAGTCACAAACCAAGAAAGCTGGTTAGTTTGAAAGTGACTTCTGTGTGAGCTGTGCTTCACATATCGCTACACTATTGACAATAAACAATGGACCTATGAAATGTTGCTAATGTGACCGCACCATTAGTCAATTAGTCTGTTAAAGTCGGCATGAAACGGATATCGGGACCGTCTTTTCTTCCCAATGGTGACCAAGTGAAACGGCTTTTTGAACAAGAAAAAAATAAAATAAGGCGAGACTTGATTTTGTAGATCAGTATTTGATTGGATTGTTGCATTGTTGTTTGCAAACTGCTGCGATTTTGTGTGAGTGTCAGGTTGCGGAAGGGGATTTTATTGTCCCGCTCTGCATTGGTGAAGTCATCATTAAAGAAGAGATGTTGTTGAAAGGCGGAGGAAGAGCTTATTTTTTTCGATTTACAGATATTACCAGGGAACATGAGTATATAAAAAGATGTGCATGGATAAATCATGTATAACGAACGCAGGCAAGTAAGAGCTGTGCGTGTAAACCTCACTCCCCTGGCCTCAAGAGGCGTGCTAGAGGCTGCAGTCTTTAACGTCCTTGTTATCGCACCCTCCTCCCACGCCAGATACCCCGGTTCGAATCCAGCTCGAAGTGGGTCGAGTAGGACCGGTTACACAGGCATAATAAACACTGAAAATATCTTGAGCTTGTGTTAACCAGACACCTTATTTCAGGCATTTTGGAATTGGAATTGGAAGTGCTAAAATGCTAAAACTTGTTTCCAGGCTTTGGCCTAAAAAAATACATCACTCTATTGGTTTTTTAAAGTGTGTCCCACCCTAATTTCCTGTTACCATGAAACTGTAGGCATTTATTAATACATAGGTACTTTGAACAGTGTACAATAAAAATCATTGTAAAAGGGAAGTTCACAGTGCCTGAAATTACCGCGCCACTATGGGGCGTATAGCATCATCATATAAGAACAATAATTATGGTTTATAAATCTCCTCCAGTGACACTGCCTATATGTCTTAGGAGCACACATCTAATTTCCTGGTCTCTTAGGTGTCCTTGTGTCAACAATTATGGACTGTACCTTTAAAGCAAAACAGGGGCACACCAATTTATGAGGTTTGCAGAGTTCCCTTAAGTGTTAATATGACAAATGACAGCAAATGTGTTGCCCATATAATCAAATACAGACTTTTATTACACATATGTGGGACTATTTTTATTCACAAACATTTGCATTAGCTGAAACTGATAATGGTGTTTAGATGCTTTCTGCAATAGCTTTACCATTTAGAGACAGCTTAATGATAATTTCATGAAGATGTTAATGGACAAATACATGCAGCTTTATGGAACACTGATTAGCATGGGGAGCATAATTAGGGTGTGTGAAAACAAAGGGAAATGATTATGAATGCATGGCTCCAAATGCAATCAATGACAGCATAATGGCCATTCTCCATAAAATACTCTAATGCTTGCCCTCCTAATGCAACTTTAATATAAATGTGTTAATTACAGACTCAAGCAAACTGTTATCTGTTATGCTGATGGGTTATGTATTCTCTAATGAATGCAATCTCATCAAGCTCTCTTCAAGACAGACCTTTTTTTCTTGGTGGCAGGAATTCTCCTAGAGGAGAGATACACAGACCATAAGAATATAAGAACAACTGTGATTACGTTAGTTGGTTAATGTGAGGTTTAATGCATGAAGAAATAAAATAAAAAAAAATGTATATGCAGCACAGCGGTAAAAAATTAAACAAATATCTAAGTCTATAGGCCCCCTTGCCAGCTGCTTCTTCATCATGATGCTGTTTTGGCATACTTTAACACATGATACTAACTGACAGTATAAAGGATAGTTCACCCAATCATTTACTCCATGAGTGGTTTAGTCCAACATTTTCTGAAGAGACACAATCGGATCGCTTTTTGCTATGAACAGATTGAAATTAGGCTTTTATTCACATATAAACATTTATTAACACACATCTGTTGTGGTAAACCAACAAAAGCTCAAGCATGTTCGCTTGACATGCGAGAACCAATGTGTTTCTCTTGTGTTTCGGAGCACATTTGAGTTTCCGCAAGAACCAATGAGGTCAAGCAGGTTTGGTTTAGCTTCTGTTTATGTTCCCTGATCAATGTTTATATGAGAATAAAAGCCTAAATTAAATCTGTTCATCATATCAAGCAATCGAGTCTCTTCAGAAAATTTGGACTAAACCGCTCAATTCATATGGATTAGTTTTAAGATCTCTTTATGAACTTTTTGAAGCCTCAAAGTGGTACAGTAGTTGCGTAGGCTGTCAATGGAGGAACAAAAAGCTCTCAGATTTCATCAAAAGATCTTCATTTGATCTTCATAGGGTGAGTAATTAATGACAGAATTTTCATTTTTGGGTGAACTATCCCTTTTAATGGTGCCCAAAAAAAGACACCAAAAAAGCACCATAAAGTATCATAAAAGTGTACATAGTCATATCTTCCTCTCCACCTCTCACATTTGTGCGATTTGATTATGTGCATATTCAAATTTCGCACATTAAAGGTGGTAACATAGTAAATAGCACAATTTCAATCCGTTGCTTACATGCTTTTTAGGGATTTTTAAAATCCTTTTTGAAACTTATTGCCAATAGTCACCATTCACTTTGCATTGAATGGAAAAGAGTGTTATCAACATTTTGTAAAATAGCATCTTTGTGAATTAGAAGATTGAAAACCATAGGGGTTCGGAACAACATTTTCATTTTTTGAGTGACCTATCTATTTAATATCATCAATGACAAGGTGCACTGCTTTGTAAGAACCCATTTTGTAGCGTAATACATTTTGTGAGGCTTTAATTTGAATATGCAAACTCATTGCTTTATGTAAAAAAGAAATTTAAAAACCTGAGATTCACCCTTTCAGGCAACTAATGATTGCTCTTCAAATATTGCCCCTAATACTTCCTCAATTAACAGCTGAAAGTCCCACAAACCTAATGTGAGAAGTGTTTTGCGAGGAGATTTGCATATTTATTTAGTTCAGCAGTAATGTATCAATTTTCAAAACAACTGTCTGAATATCATTATTTATGCCAAACACCACTTGACACCCTTAAAGTGCTGTCGTAGTCCACTTTAAATGGAGAATAAATGCTTCAGAAAACCATGAAGAAGAACGTACACCTCACAAGGTCAGGCCAGAGGGGAAAAGCTCAAGTGGCCATGTTTAAGATGTGCAAAAGGCTTGGTATATCCTACCCTAACAGATATGACTGGATTCTTCATCTCATGTTGATTTTAAACACTTAATTTATTTATGTCAAACAATTTAAATAGAATTTTAGTGCACCTTTAAAATGATGCATCTCTTATGTGTGCATGTTCAAAGTGAAGGAGCACAGAGAATGATACTAACCTTTTTTCTTCACAAAATGACGATCACCTAAATTGGCGGAGGAGAAAGGAATACAGAAGACAGTGTTAGAGAAGAACCTACAAAATAGATCTTTTGGAACATTGATGACGGTTAAATAAATTATAAATGTGGATCAGAGAAGGGAAAAGGCTTGTCCACAGCACTTTATTCCTGGCCTCTAAGATCTTCACACACACACACACACACATGCAATCTTTGTATTTCACACTTTTTACACATTCAATCTGCATGTGACAAACAGGTTCAAATCTAAATTATTCGGCATGTGAAGCCACCTTTATGCCCGATGATGCATTTACACGTGTGCAATTAGAATGATTAATTAATCAGCTTGTTTGTCTGCTGAGCGAGTTGATCTGGCGAGCCTGATCCGTAAAAATACATCTGTGCTCAAATGAAAAGCAGAGCATATTGGTGATTTTGTATAGAGAGTTGAGTAATATTTTTCATGATTGAAATTTCCAGAAATGATTATGAAAGTAAGTTTTTGATATGTTCATAAATTCCCATTACTGTATACAGTATGCTATCAAATCTGGTAAATAAGATTACAAATCTGGTAAACAACATTAAAGATTGACAATTGAAATGCCACATAGTTTAAAATGTGCATGTAGTTTATATTTCACTGTATTTAATAAATAAACATTTAGGCGGAAGAACACTTATTTCCCAGAATGCATTACCTGTTTAATTGCAATTCAGTGAATTCCCTTTCTTGTCTTTCTAATTCAAATTCTTTTGTGGTGTGAACAATTCAATTCAAGCCATGGAGTCATTTTTCTACTAAGATGCTAGTGGAAACAATTTTTCTACAGCTTTTACATTAAACATCAACAAAAAAAAAAAATCGCTGGTTGTGACATTTGTCAAAAACATTATAGGTTAATTCAGTATGATAAAATGGCAATGATTTGTTTGGAATTCCTTAATGGTGTATCTCACTCACAATAAAAATGCATTCACCAAGTAGGATATTTAGGTCTTAATAGGTTCCTATTCATATATGCTTTTTTTTCCATCCTATAGGCACAATATTCCACTTTTACGTCATCATCATCCAGGCTACAGTATGTATAGAATTGTGTTTGTACTTAGTACACTTACTATTTTGTTTATTTATATTTGTAGCCTACACTTCAATGCTTTACCCTCATGTATTTATTTGTTTATTTATTTATTTTCATTATAAATGTGAATTTTGTCATTGTTTTGGAGCACACTAGCTTAGGCTATAGATAACAGTAAGGCTAACATATTCATACTAAAAGCCAAAATAGAAGAATAGCTAGGCTACTTTAATTTTGATCTCATAGGGACTAACTAAATTCAACAGTTAGGCTTAAATCACAGTAGGCTAAATCTAAACTCTTCTCATATTTTATTGATCATTTTTTGTCTGCGAAATATTTTCCCTCACAATATGTAAGTGTGTTCGGACAGTTCGGTATTTTCTGTCAGTTTCGAATCAAAACTAGCGAGGTCCAATTCTCAAATGAGTCACGCATTTGAATCGGTTCTTATCAATGAATCGTTCGGAGGGTTTAAAAAACCAGAGTGAATCATTCAGTTCACTCACGCACTAAATCGTTAGACACTCGTCTGTCTGGACACTGGTAATGCATTCTGGGAAATAAGGAATTTTCTTTTCCTCTGTGTGTGTGTGTGTATATATATATATATATATATATATATATATATATATATATATATATATGTATGTATTATGGGTCATTCCTGGGATTCTGTAATATGTCAGTGGTGGTTCACCTATGTCCATTTATAGTGAATAAAAATAATTATTGCATTTAAATAATTTTTATCATAAAATGATGTCTTATTTCTATCGTATAAGCATTTTGTGATGTCCCTGAGGCACTTCACTGAATTTGTTTAACAAAATTTGCATAGAGTATATATAATTTTGGGCAGTATTGTAAGTATTTATTTGTGTTACTTTCTTGTGAAAAATATTTTACTAAATAAAAATAAAAATTAAGATATTTTTTAAAAAAAGACTATAAAGTTAGGTCCCTCAGTCTGACCTTAACCCTGTCATGCCAATCTCAGCCATTTAGACTCCACCCATATGTGACCTCATTTATCAGAAAGGACATCACTCATGTCTTTTTAACAGAAGATGGTATGTAGTATCATACTTTTTATTTTTATTTTTGAGGTGTATTATGGTCAGGGAGGGTACTGTTATGCTTAACAACTCAACACCATCATATAAAATTAAGATGGAAAATTATTATTTTTCAAAATTGTATTTTAATTCATAAGTATATACAATGTTCTTATTTCATTACTGCCGTATATGGTCTACTCTCCTACACTACAAGAGGAGCAGAGGACATTTTGAGCAAATAACATATATTATGTATTGGGTTGAAAATTTGTGACAGGGTTGAGTTCTTTACTTCATTTATGAATAATTTTAATAAAAAAATATAAAATAGTCATGGTTTCGGTAAAGATATACTTAACAAAATCATGATTTAGAATCATAATTTAGAATATTTGATGTATTGTGTCCACCATTGACAAGCATATAGAAATGGCAGCCACATCAGCAGCAGAAAGACTGTGTTGTGCATGCAGATATTGACCCAGAAAGAAGGGCACAATATGAGACAGAGGTCACATTTAAAATATAATATTGAAGGCAATGTCTCCCTTCAAAACAGTTACAGTCTTCAACCCTGTCACACCATCCTCAACTATTCTTTTGGGGAATAAATAGCTAACACAATAAAATTATGTTATGAGGGACACAAGCAGTAGGTAGATGTTTGTTTTATAACAAGTTTTGTGTAAAATCCTTTTTAAACCAATTCCATTTTGTCCCTTACAGGGTTGAGAATAAAAGGCGTTTCAATCTGGGGGAAAAAAAAACTGAAAATAATAAAAGATCTTTAATGCCTGAGGTGGGAAAATGGCCTCTGTCCATCATGGCCTCCTAATCATCCCCATATATACTAATTGGCTTCATCACTCTGTCTCCTCTCCACCAATAAACTGGTGTGTGGTGGGCGTTATGGCGCAATATGGCTGCCGTCGCATCCTCCAAGTGGATGCTGCACATTGGTGGTGGTTGAGGAGATTCCCCCCTTCTATGTAAAGTGCTTTGAGTGCCCAGAAAAGCGCTATATAAATGCAATGAATTATTATTATTATTATTAATAAAAATGACTGAATCCCAAGAATGACCCATATGACCTATATATAGGTGAAACTCGAAAAATTAGAATATCGTGCAAAAGTTCATTTATTTCAGTAATTCAACTTAAAAGGTGAAACTAATAATTATATAGACTCATTACATGCAAAGTTAGATATTTCAAGCCTTTATTTGCTATAATTTTGATGATTATGTCTTACAGCTTATGAAAACCCCAAATTCAAAATTAAAATATTGTGAAAAGGTTTTCATAGCTGTAAGCCATAATCATCAAAATGATAACAAATAATGTAATGAGTCTATATAATATATTAGTTTCACCTTTTAAGTTGAATTACTGAAATAAATGAACTTTTGCACGATATTCTAATTTTTCGAGTTTCACCTGTATATATATATATATATATATTAGTATTGTGATCAGTTTATATACCCTGTGTACTTGCAATGTTTTTGTTTTGCTGAGATTATTCTGTTGGTATGTTATGTATTTATCTGGGATCATTCATTTATAACTGGAGGTATTGAAGCAATGTGGCAGTCAGTCCACATGCATTTATTCAGAGCACCTCAAGGTGACTTATGAAGATTCTCAGCCAAGCGTGTTATTGGTTCAACAATCTTGGCAATGTTACTTTTGTGCCTCTCTTTGTTTTGAGCTCTCTTTATTGATGCATCTGAAAGTGTTCTCTGCGCACATGTGTACTTCATTTGTTTTCTGACAACTCTATAAACATTTATTTCTGCTGGATTTCAAACGTTTGTGCTCAGCTCAATGCTAAACACTACTAATGTAGTAATGTGAATTATGTAGATCCTAAAACTCTTGTATAATGACTCGGAGTCTTCTGGTGTTGTAGGTTTCCTAATTGATTACAGTGGTATGTGGTCAGATTCATTACTTTATAGGTCTTATTTAATCTTCATAGGCCTTATTTATCTTTGGAGATTTTGCCTAAAGATTAAATCAAATAGGCTTATATTTGCCTTTAATAAAAGTGTCAGTTTTAATGGCAGCTTTGTTTGCTAACCTACCATCATTGTATGGGTTGGATAGTCTAGTAACAGATGTGATACATTTTCAAGGTCATGGAAGTTAAAGAGAATTAACTAGGCTAAACTTGAGACAAAATCAGGATAAAAAGGAGACGAGATAGAGCACCTAATAAACATGTCTTCTGACCTTTCTAAGTGCATCTGTGGTTAAAGACAGGGCCATATGAGCTACCCTCAATGAGACCACAATGACTCATTAGCTTCCAAAATTACAGAGGGGAGATTAAGATGTATCATGTTGGTTTGCTTCCTTTTTCTTCTGAGATTCATTGTTCTCCAATAGTGACAAATATCACAAATAGTGCATCATCTGTTCTCTTGCACTAAACTGCAAACATCATTTTCTTAATCAGTATTGGTGTCTTGTTTTCCAGTAAAAAATATATAGAGAAATTCTAAACTTAAAGTTACTTGAGAATTTCCTATATTGCATTAGATTTTTCTCATATTCAAACAAAAAACATCTCAAGCCAACTAGCCTTTATATATTATATTATAATATATTATATATTTTCTATACTCTTCTACTCAAATTAAATTCTGTACAGATAGCACTGTATTGTCCCCTTTCAATTAATAATTGATTCTCATTTGCAAGTTGCCTTGGATAAATGTTCCTGCATATGTCTTTGTGAATCAACTTAACTTAACATTACTTGAGATTATTATCAGAAGAAACCAAGACGATTTGATGTGCGAGATTAATGACAGAGATGTGATACTGTTTTGTTTGGTTTTTATTGTTATTTTGTAGAATCACACATGTGGCAGACAGTTCCTGGTAGAAATTCCTCGTCCTCTTTCTCAAAACTCTTCTTTGGAGTGTAAAGCTGTAAAATAGTGACCCATTCCTTTAATATTTCTGGTTATGACACTCACACACCATTTAGAATTTTCTAGCAGACCTTGTAATATTATGTCAGAATATAGATTGCTTGAAACTAAATAGTTGCACAAATTCGATTCATGCTATTCTTCAATCCCTTTGGGATACCAGGTTTAAACCAGGTTGCAGAAGGGGAAAAACGTGACCATAAAAGCCAGCTCATATTTCTAATAAGTTCTATTAGTACACATGGCTCGTCAGATCAAACCGCTGTGGGTTAGTCTGTGGTTTCTGAGATGTTGTTGATATTACAGTAAACACTTTGTTGTGTAATCATGCTGCTATTGTGAAAGAAAGGCCACAACAAGTTTATATACCTTCATCCTCCTCTTCTTCTGGTGCTACCAAATTAGTCATAAAAGTCAAGATTGACGTTATCCAATCGGTAGTGTCATCCATTGCTTCGTTCACCGCCTTCATTGGATCAGTGCTGATGTGGTGAATACCCCCTAAAAGTATGTTTTAGACAGGGCATCTTGAGACATATTTCCATACACTCAACAAACTGTACATTCACTTACAGCCATTATAACCAGCTGTAATAACAACAGCAATTGTCTGTTTGTCAGTGCTCTACAAAAGCAACTCAAAATCTTTATGTGTAAAATCCAGCTCAAAAGCTATACCATATGGCCAAAAGTATGTAATTCCTGAACACTTGAACACCACATCATTATATGCTGGTTGAACATTTCAAAATCATGGACATTTAATTGGGAGTTGTTGTTGTTGTTGCACTTGTTGTGGTTTGAATTTGACATTATTACTTTTCATACTGCTTAGACAAGAAATCATGAGTTTTATATTATTGACAGTAAAAAAAATAACTAACAGTAAGCAAGTCTGCATATATTCTTGTGAAAAAATATTTCTTATATCAGCTCTATATATCTTCCTGTCATAGTGGGAAGAAAAATATACACTGCAACTGATTATATTTTTGTTTTCAAAACAAAATAATTGTATACTGCACTTGTTTTATAGTATTGTGTTTTGAGCCATATACACTTGTTTTGCGAAATTAAATATTTGCTGTTTATATTGTCATTATATTGTTTATACTGTCACATATTGTTTTTAATGACAGTATAAAAGGCAATTATATAATTCTGGAGGCAAGATGTACCTTTATTATATCATGCTATCATTTTTCTTTCACAAAAGGGTTTTTAGATCATATATTTTTGGAAGGAGGTTCCTCATTAATATTAGATCATTATTTTTAGACAGTTTGAAAACCCACAATTTAAACAGATTGCTTGAATGTGTGCTTGATTGTATATGCTTTTTTTCAGTAATGATGTAGCTGCAATAACCAAACCATTTCATTAGAAGCAGGTGTTCACATACTTTTGGCCATGTACTGTATGCTGATCCTGTTTTCAGATAACCAGTGTACTATCGACCCGGAATGACATCTTCAATAATAAGACAAGATCTGATGATTTCAAATCCAGCATCGAAAAGAATTTAACACCCACATGTCATAAAAAAAGACAGGTGCATATGGATCTACAGATATAAATGCCATTGCCAAGTCAGTTAAACTTGTTTCCGTTTTGGATAAGTTTGGGGTTTTCTTGCTTTCCACTGCCCATCGACAGGAATACTCATCATATTTCACACATCAACATGTAGTGCCTGTCTGTCTGCAGTTATCAGCAAGTGAACAGCATGACCCGAGTCAAAGCCATTTTACCAGAAGCCATTATGCAGAGGTGACGTGACTGCATGCACAGACTCCAGATTCATCAGACCTCTATTATAGCCTCTAAACACCCTGATGTTCACTATTCCTGTTCGAATAAATTAGTATATGATTATAAAAAATTCAACTACTATAATCTGCATGTGTACATTAGATGGGCAGTAAAGCTGTTTTAGTTGCAAAAGCCTATTAGGTCGATTCACTTGCATAACCATATTTCATTATGTTAATTAGCACAAAATGGTATTTCGAATTGTGATAGATAATATTATTATTATAATAATTTACTAACAATTTCTTAATTAAAGGTAAAGTGGGTGATTTCTTAGATCCCAGGAACGGGACACTTGAAGCGCTTTTTATTTGCGTTTTTACCCCTACCACATATTTTAGTAATCATCATAAATTAGGTCAAAATGAAACCATTTTGAAATTGGACATTGTGTTATCATGGAAATTGTACTTTAGCTGGCTCAATTTTTGGAAATTTGTAACACAACTTGATTAGACATAATGGCTTTGATGTTCCAGCAATTTTAGAGTCCAAATTATGTTGTCAAATATATATTTTGTATAAAATAAAAATTGTTTAGTCCTGTACATTTGCTTCTACAGTAAACCTAAACTTCTATACCTTTTTATAGAAGTACTTTTGCAATAATCCGCCACAAAGAAACCAACCATAGGTCTGTATTCCCCATTTAAGGTCAGATCTAAACTAAAATGAGAGTGACAGTAAACAGGTTAAAGATCTTTTTACAAATTAAATTGGGAAAGGAGTCTATATTTAACAAAAAGACTCGCGTCACCTTTAAAGATCTTGTCACCTTGACATTGAAAAGAGGTTGCATCCCTTAAAAATGCTGCTTGAAGATGCCATTCAGGATGAGGAAATTCAATTTACAGTGAAATTTTTCTAGTCACATTTTTAATACTCTGGCTTATTAATTTAGATAACTATTTTAAATGTGTTGGTCACTACATAATCGCTGCTTGTATGCGTAAGGTGTAATAAGATGGCTTGCCTCTAAGGCTGCCTGCTTCCTTTAATGTTTTCCTGACACGGTGTGGCTGAGGTCCTGTTAGGATGAGAGACACAGAAGCAGAGGTGTGTGATAGCAACACGCATACTGTACACACACTCTCATTGGGTCATCCTCACTGAACATGCTCAGAACTGTAGGCAGGATAAACAGGCTCATTTAGCCACCACCATTATTAACAAAACACAATCACTCTTAGCACAGAATCACAGGAAAGGTGTGAAAAGAGACCTCATATTAATCCATGTCACAGTGAAAATGGAACTGCAAACATACACATTTTAAGAGAGAAAAAAAAAACAGGTACAAGAAGCAGGATACATGTAGTGTGAATGTGTTACGGAAGTCACTGTATTGTGGTCTCTCTTTTTTAGAGCATTTATCATAGCAAATTAAATTGTCACACTCTTTTCTCATGCCGGCTTCTGGCTGCATTGAAATTCAGGCCTCGTAACGTAATTGTGACATCTCCTTTACACAGAGATGCTAATGCAATACTGATGAATTCAGTGACATTTGTTTGATTCACTTTTTAACCCACTTTATGGATATTCAACATAAGCTTTCACTCTCAAAACTGACAATATTTTACATTTTTGGGTGCTTGAGTGTGACGTGTAAACTCGTAGGAAAGGAAAAATACTAATGAGTTTTGTTTAATACTGTATTTCTAGTCAGCAAATAAGTTTAAAAGGAGAGCAAATGGAAACTTTTGCTTATGTCTCCTGCTTATACGTTTCTATTTAGAGAAAGACTCAACAATCTCACATGTGACACCTCTAGATTTTTGCCAACATACCAAAGTCTGCAATCAAAACATGACCAATAATCTGAGATGTGCTATATATCCACAATACGTTGTTTCTGTATCATGTTTCCATTTTTATTTCTCTTAAGGAGAAAAATCCTCTCTCTATAACAGATAACAGATAACTCCAATAAATCTCCTAAGATATAAAAGATATCTGGAACAATAGACATTTTCCTCTGGGCAGTGCAGCTAAACCATTGAAATCAATATAAGGGACAGAAAACCATACAGATGAATGCTTAACTAAAGACACAATGAGCTCAAACTGAATGAATGTCTCGATGTTTTGTATATCTTGAGGACAAATTACAGAGAGTTCAATGCAGTTTTTATGTTCAATTCAGTTTTTTACTTGTATGGTTATTTGTTTGCATGAGTGATAATGTGCTGGTTCAGTCTTATCTGTGATACAGTGAGATGGTTGCTGTTCATATCAATGCAGAAAATCATTTTCTTAATCTTTTTTTTTTTTTTGTCTAAACATTATTAACCCTTTGATGCACAACATGGGTCTAAATAGACCCGACTGAGTTTTAATTTTCTATATCTTTGCAAGAAATTAATTTCATCATTCAGTATTCCAGGTATTCCTCAATTAACTTGTTTTTGATCATCACAAATCCTTATTTTTATTTTTACTTTCTTACTTTTTGAATAAAAATAGTTTTTGTATCACAACCCTTCTAATGCGCAACATGGGTCTAAAAAGACCCGTATTCATTTCCTGTGTTATTTCAGTGATGGCTGAGTGTTTTCTTTGCTGAATCTTTAAAATATATGTATTTTATCATTTGTTATTCCAGGTATTCATTAAATATCTTGTTTTTGATTTCCACAAATCATTATGTTTATGTTTCCTTTCTTACTTTATAAACAAACACAGTTTTTGTATTTCTACATCAATTTTACATACATGGGTCTAAAATGACCCGTATTCATTTCCTATGTTATTTCAGTCATGGCTGAGTGTTTCTTTGCTGAATCTTTAAAATATATGCATTTTATCATTTGTTATTCCAGATATTCATTAAATATTGATATTTATGTTTTCTTTCTTACTTTATATACAAACAGAGTTTTTGTATTTCTACATACATTTTACATACATGGGTCAAAAATGACCCATATAGAAACCTTTGATATTTGCACATATTTGCAAGTAGGAACATATTTACTGCATAAATACTATTACTATAGTATTGTTACATAATACTATTCACCTGCCACACATTTCACAACTCAACACTGCTGCTTTTGTATATTTGATGCAAGTCTTATTTTATTTTAACCACAGAAAATATTTGATATTTTGTAAAAGATAACTGGACATAATATTTAAATATGGTTACTTGACCATGAAATCCTAGTGAGAAATTACTTGTGAGAAAGAGAAACATATCCAATACTATGAGCTAGCTAGCTGTCGACATATTCTATTCTAGCTAGCTAATGTTAGCTACACTAAAAAAAGATGGGTTTTTAAAGGGGAACTCAGCAACTCTAGCTATTTCTTCGCTGATTTTCACTTTTGTTGTCGCATGTTTTCTCAACGAGCTCCCCCTACAGCTGTGGGACGTATATTTCACAACAATGTTGTAAAAAAACTCACTTACGGCCCCTCCTCCCCCTTTCTACCGCTGCTCATGTGCATTTGTTATTATCGGAGCCGGCCAACTTTATCGTGTGGAGCTATACCGAGGTGGGTAATACATCATACACATTGAGGGCGGCGTGTGTGTTTATGTCGAATTGCCATAAAGCATTTTGTGTTTCTCACTCGTTCTCGCTTCTCACAAGACTTCCTGTTTCCAACTTACTGGGACGTTAGTCCCCATGTTGCAAGGTTGGTTTTCCGCCTAGGAACGTTGGGGGGAGCAGGGAAAGTCACCATTTTCACCAGAACAATTATTAAACCATCCAAATGATTTCTAAACGGTTTCATTAAGTTGAAATAGTTGCCAAATGCCCCTTTAAAGCTTATTTACATGTAATAGGCCTAAAAGTTCTATTAAGAACCGTATAGTCTTGAATAAGCCATTATGTTGAAATGGTTCGATGTGTTAAGAGTTTAGGGTCCTTTTTCCCCGCCTTTTGATTTTAAAATCTGTAACTGTCAAAGCCACCTGAAATAACATAGGAAATGAATACGGTCATTTTAGACCCGTGTATGTAAAATTGATGTAGAAATACAAAAACTGTGTTTGTTTATAAAGTAAGAAAGAAAACATAAACATAATGATTTGTGGAAATCAAAAACAAAGATATTAATGAATACCTGGAATAACAAATGATAAAATACATATATTTTAAAGATTCAGCAAAGAAACACTCAGCCATGATTGAAATAACATAGGAAATGAATACGGGTCATTTTAGACCCGTGTATGTAAAATTGATGTAGAAATACAAAAACTGTGTTTGTTTATAAAGTAAGAAAGGAAACATAAACATAATGATTTGTGGAAGTCAAAAACAAGATATTTAATCAATACCTGGAATAACAAATGATAAAATACATATATTTTAAAGATTCAGCAAAGAAACATTCAGCCATGACTGAAATAACATAGGAAATGAATACGGGTCTTTTTAGACCCATGTTGCGCATTAGAAGGGGTATCCATAGCTTGCGCATCAAAGGGTTAAAATAAGATACATGTACATGAGAAGCAAAGTTGCAGACTTTTTTTCTTCTTCCAATGAATATTTATTGAATTACTTTCATTTTCCTTACCCCTAGGCAAACTGTTTGTTTTTTTACCTTACTGATAGATATGCAGAAAAAAATACTGAAATAATATTTAGCCAATTGGGTATAAAAAATATTGGGAAACGAGATTGGAAAAAATACTGATCACGAAAATGTTTTTTTTTTTTTTTTTTTTTTTTTTTACAGGAATGTCATTTGGTGGTAAAAATAATTTATTTTCTCATTGTACGTGACATCATTCTGCATATTTGAAAATCTAGCTCTGCAGTTTTTCATGGTTATGATATGGTGACTGATTTTGCCATAAGTAGGACATGTTCCTGAATGGATAATGGAAATGGTAGGTTGATTGTTGCTCTGTGACCAAATATGAAATATGATCCAGGAACATGCCCTACTTGGCATAATCACAGCCAATTACAAGTGCTATAATAGACAAACATAAGTTTTACCAATATTGTGTACTTTTAATTTAATTGTATCTATGTTCTAAGGAGCTCTGATGCAGTTGCTTAGAAAGTGAGTATGTGCACCACCTATATGTTTTTCTTAGACTTATACTGTCACAGACCAGTCATGTGACTGAGGCTCCAGGGCAAAAAGAGGACACTATTCCACATCTTAGAAACTCAGGCATGAGGGGGATCATTCCCAACAGAGAATCTCAGTCACGGCACTGGGGAACACGGTCTTTGAATCCTGTCTTGAAAGTGAGCAGAGCCTCACCCTTCACTTTCATTGCACAGTCCTCTGCGCTCTACTCTTCTTTTCATGACCACAGCTCTCCAACAGTAAAGGGAATTACAGTGTGTTACCAATCAAATGTGTGTTTAGACAACGTGTTGATTTTTGTACATGTGACATAATCCTGCTATCTGAAGCAGTGGCAGATTAGTTCTGATATATCTTATACCTATAAACAACCTTTATTGTCATCACAATACTCTTGCCATTTAATGTAATTGGTGGACATGTTCTCTTTATTGTTTTGTAGAACAGTGGCTCTCAACTGGTGGGACTTGCTAGCAAAACAAAGATGGATGGCAACTTGGAAAGGTTGCATAACATCCCTTCATTTTCAAAAAACCCATTGAAATTTAGCTGCACAAGGTAAAATAATTATATTAGTTAAGTTTTTTTTATGGATATTTCTGTATAGTTTGGTAGGATAGACACTTTCAGTACTGTTTTGGACTTCCATTTGATGTCCATTGCAAAAAACTGGGTTCATAAGCAAAACCAGTTGAGAACCACCGTTATAGACCACCTGAAGTCAAATGGTAAAGACTCTGTAAATGCAAGGCTGTGTTAAGATGGGCCAAAGTGCCAACTTCCTCCCCGTGATTCCGCATCGTGTAGCCTACGAGGCCATTTCTCCAGGCTTAGCTGTGCATTGAGAGGGAAATTAAAGTATATATTCCTTCTCCTGTAAAGAACGTGAGAAATCTGCAACATAGAATACTGCATTAATATTCTACAGGTAAAATATCATTGTTTTGCTCAATGCATTTAATGAAAAGAAGAATCAAATCATTCTGCATGGCAAGGAGGAGTTGCCGTTCAATACCACACAGTTAATAAACGAAGTCAAGCTACAGTGCTTTCAAAGCATAGTTATCGATGTTAGAATAAAATTAATTGATTGAATAATTTGAGGCTTATTGAAAGCAATATCGCAAAGTAGACGTCAACTCACGAATGTTGGATATCATCACAGGGTGGAAGGGAGCAATTGGCACAAAGCTTATTGATGTCATGCTGGCTCAAATAAAATTATGGTTTAAAGTCTCTCAAAAAATATACAGTTTGCTGTTTGAATTAAATTTATTTTTGCACTGGTAAATTTTAGTCCTGCTGAAAATCAGTTCCGGAAGCTTTTTGATGATGCCATACTGTATTATGGCATATTAAGCCCATACCATGATATCAGGCCTGAATTTAAATGTAAATCTCAATAGAGAAGCTTTTATTTGTCTCTTGAGCTTAAATTAGTTTCACGTTGAAATGAATGTACAGCAAATGTGTTATTTTGCAAAGCAAATGTTTCATTTTGAGACCAAAATAAACCATTATTTTATGCACTTACATTCTGGTGACACAACCTTTTTATTTTTTCACACTGTTAATAATTTTTTTCTTTAATTATTTTTCCCTAAAGGAAAAAGTTGTATTTTTCTTTTAAATATCTAAATATTAAACCGAGATAATTGTACTTGAAGCAGAATTTAGTATTGGGATTTAAAAATAATACAATTATTTTTATTTATATCTCATAACAGGAGAAAAAACTATTTGCCAGTGGTTTAGAAAAATTCAAGATGCATTATGTAATTTTGTGTAAAGTAAACATTTATCTCGTTTTATATCAATTATTTATATACTAATGGAAAGCAAGATAAAAATGCTAAGTATTCTTTGCCGTGCATAGAGAAATATTAATAACACAGTTGTGCATTTTATAATACAAGCACTCCAAAGGAGATTGTTTTTTTCTTTTCTGGAGGTGATTGAAACGGATGTAAAATTTGATCAGGTGTCTAAAATCTGAAGCAAACTTTTTTTTATTGCCATAAAGCATTGTGTGATCTGCTTTCAAAGTGAACTTAGTTCCACAATTCACTTTGTCATTATGATAAAGCCAAAGGTGTAGTGTCACTCTGAATGGAATGCATGACGGTCTAGAGGAAGTGATGTCGTGTTCATGACAGGCATATTAGATGGTTCAGTAAATTTGCATGTCTGAATGAATGTTTGAGATGATAGTGACAGTTGCTCCCTGTTTGCATGCAGGAAAAAACACACGCACACACACACACAAACAGGCATTAGCACTGAACTGCAGGCAGAGAGTCTTTACCAGGTGGTAAACAGGGGTCGTCACAGTATAATGTATGGGCTTTTTATTGGATGGCAACAGGATGACACATGATGATGGACAGGGTGGAAAAAGGAGGGAAACTTATTAGAAATAAGTAAATTTAAATGTGACACCTACAATGTGGGGTGGTGTGTTTCATGTAGTGAACTACATGAAAGGAAAGTCTAATGTTTCCATTTTGAAATACTTTCAAAAATGGGTTAATGTGTTTGTGTTCTAGAGCTTTTGATGGAATGAATTGTGAATGAGTTTGTGATGTGATCTCAATGACAGTGATAAATCCTTCTAAACAATGACAATTTTTTAAACAGTTGAAGGAGTTCAAAATTGTCATTATGGAATTACTGAATCACACTGAGAAACAATTGACTGCAACTTCAAGTAATTCAGCACCAAAAACAACCATTCTATCATCTTCCTTGCATCAACGATGGACTCTAATATATCACCAGGTGGTAATACAAGGTAAAACGGTGTCCTACAAGGACTTTTTCAGCACTCTGCATGAATGAGGCGGTGGCTGATAGCAGCCTGCCAACGGGACACCCTATCTATCCTTGTCACTGTCAATGCTATCAGGATCCAGTCAATATCCCTCCCTCCCACTCTTAGAAGCCTCACAAGTTTGCCCTGTGGCACTGCTGATAAACTTCCAGCCAGAAAACAAGCTCTGAGCTTTATCACATTGTAAAAGCTCACCCAAGCATCCAATTACGCTTCATCTGGGTCCTGTTTTACCAAAAGTTAAAGTGAATGTGCTGGTATAAAGCCCCCAATCAGGTAGCCTAATAATCGACTGCTGCGCCCAACCTGCCCTTCAGCACAACTGTACCAAAATAACTCTCCATCGAAGGGAATTAGACAAAGATAAGAGAGATAGACCTACCTTCAAGACCCTTGGTGTCGAGCAGGTCAAACATGATGATGGCAACGGCTGACCATGTTATGACGAGAGCCAGCACGAGGATCCAGGCCATGGGTGAGCTGAACGTGCTGTACAGGTCATCGGTCATGGTGCGCTTGGATGAACGTAAGGGATGTGCACTTACGTCATTTTTGGTCTCGACTATGGTAGTCGTGGTGGTGGAGGACCGCGCTGTAGGGACAGATAGAGCTTTAGAAATGTACAAGTGCAAACAAGATATTGCTGTACAAAACAGGTTAATACCCATTAAAAAAACATTCTACATGGTTTCAAACTGGTTCGAGTCGGCCATTTATAGCAAAAATAAGGTAGTCACTGGAGGGATTGACATCTTGGTTGTTTTGGAATCCATGATGGGTAGAGCTGGTTGATCACATTGGAACAATATAAAACCAGCTAGCTACCATGAAATTTAAAGGAAGATTTGAGCCAAAGATAAAAAGAGTTTTGCTACAGTTTGTGTATTCATGCGTGTATCAATTTTTGCCTTGATTTGAAAGGTTTTGATCTGAAGTGACGATCACTTTGCTGGAAGACCTACAATATACAATAACTAGATTAATTTCATATCTTTGTCCTATTTGGAACTCCACTTTCTCATTGACTTTCATAATATGGACAAAAACCCATTTTCTTTTGATATACGCATTTTTTTACTCTTGGGTTATCGTATAAAAAATGCTGGATGAAAGTTGTTAATAAAACTCAGTGTAGACAGGATGTAAGAGTTACAAAAACAAAGACAGCTAGACAGCAGATGAATGTTTGCTTTTTGTCTTCATCAATGCATTGCCTGGGAGAGAGATTGAATTGAACTTGCTGTCTGTAGATAGTGCACACATCTGCAATGGCAATGTTTCATCGTTAAAACATCTCCAAGGCCGCATGAGGAATGCTGGCGCTGTGTCATCTGTTGGCCGGAGCCCCCTTAAAAGCCTCTTTTCTAAATGGATATAAATTCCTGCGGCAGCTCAGTCTGAATTGCTGCACAGAGAGTCTAAACATCCGCCACATGTAACCTTTATATACGCTGCTGGGTTTACAAGACCCCTTTATTGATCTTTGACAATTTTCTTGACTTAAGTCATAATAAATGATTGATTCTTGTGCAAGCATTTGTGATTGTGTTTACAGAAATGTATTTGTGGATCAATCAATCAATCAATCACTTTATTCATAAAGCACAATTAAACACAACTTCCATTGACCAATGTGCTGTACAGAGTGTAAAAAAAACCCCGGATGATTCGTTGTGATTCTGAGCCAAGATCGGGTTTGTGGTTCTTGTTTATGTTGGTCCTGTTGCTCGCACAAGTGTTTTCTGCTCTCTCTGCTCTTGGCTTGCACATAATGACGTGTCTATGCATGTGGGGGTCTGATACAGATGTCACACGCTGAAAGTGTCCACTAAGACCACCTGTTGCATCTCTTCACATCAGTCCCAGTGGTCAAATTTAGGATTAGACATCCCATCCAAATGCTGACTCAAGAAGTTTTCTGTAGACACCCTATGCTTAGCTAGTTTGGCGTTTTGGTGCATCTTTCTGTATGTTATCATGATTTTGCCCCTGCAGATTGTCTACAAGCTTCAGTATCTGATTGTACAGAAACATAAGATCGCAGATTGTGTACACCAAAGGAGGATTAGGAGAAATCTTCCATGGCAACACGGTGCACAAATGCCACTTCAAAACTCACTGCGCTGTAAACCGAACAGTGGCAGAAAGAAATAGCCCTCTTTGAATTGCTTATTTTAATATAAGACCTTGTCCTCCTCAGATCCCTGTGTTGATATCCATGACAACTAATCCCAGGTTTGTAAATGAGAGCTGTTGAGACAATGAAGTCAGCATAAAAAACACTCTGCACTGCTATTCCCTCAAGTGTCACTTTAAATGCGATTTATTCAGGCTGATCTGGGAGACATTTCACAGTTTAATAAGTATATCAAATTTACTTCTAAGTCTTTGCCACACTAAGCCATTTCACGCAAGACTGGGGCTCATTTATGCAGGCCCTTGACGTCAATAATCGTTTCTTTCTCAAGTCACTAATAGTGACTTCAAAAAGGTTTCAAACTTTTTGAATAGGTTTCTTTTTGTGTGTGTTTGGAAGCTGACAGGATTTCAGTGTGTTGAGAAAACGCTTCTAAATCTAAATGACATCAACAATCAAAGAAAATATACTGAGAGACACTAAAACCTTAAGCTTTCAATGGGGGACTGAAACTTTTCCGGGGACATACAAGTGGTCCACGTGACTTATTGTAATTCCAAGTCTTTAAAAGTCATAAGATAACTGTGAAACTTGTTATTCACTGATAATCATGACATCTGCTGTTTCATGAGAGAAGCAGCGATTGTCAGTTTGTAAATGAATCATTCTTTTGTGTCAAAGCTTTTCAGTGAGTGATTTATTCATGAAGCGAACAAGTCTGATTCTGCAATCGAACTCACTGACTCAATAAACTGGTTGCAGCGAATTCAGAAGTCCTGTTATAATACGCATGGACCATTTTTATGGTGCATTTGTGTCCTTTTTGAAGCTTCATTCACTGTTCATTGTAATTGCATGAAAAAGAGTGACTGGCAGAGTATTCAAAATTTCTCCTTTTGAGTGCCACAGAAAACAGAGAATCGTATGGGTAAGGAACGACAGGAGGTTAAGTAAATGAGTTCATGAATTATTTGTAATGTAAATGAATTATCATAGGTGAACTATTCCTTTAAATATATTTTCTCTCTAGCTGATTAAACCGCCATATTTCAGTTGATGACTACCTTAAAACCTTAAAAAAGCTGTGCTAAGATCACAGGCCTGCTTCAAAGGAGTGCAGATTCCCATAGAGCCATATGATATGGTGTATTTTTAGCAGCTTTCAGCTACAAAATTCCCCTTCAAAGCAGATGGCTGCCATCTAAAAGACGGTTAACTTGACTAAGAGACAAAGTTAACTTGAGGTACTTGACTGTATACTGTTAGTAGCATAGTTTGTCACATGCAGTATAATAACATTTACTTGACTTCCACCTTCTTATTGGTTAATGCACTTAGAAATGTAACCGGAAAATGAAGTTGACAGTACCTTCCATCTCTCTCATGCACTAACAGGCTGAACACAATCTCAAGAGTCAATTCCCCAGTCCAGAATAGTTTTCCGATCGAAAGCACCACAATGTCTCTCTGTGCCTTTCCTGTTGGAGTCCCGATAAAACTTGGATTTGTGCCAGGGCCCCCTACAAGGAAGCCAAAAGGCACCTGTTGCTTAAAGTGACAGGGAAAAAAAACCTATACACTTCCAACTGGTACCAAGTACTAGCAGGAAGGGAAAAAACAAGGCTACTGTCAAAAGAGCAAATCAAGCCCTAGGTTGTCCTTATGTTTGTTACCAACCCATGGTGTGTGTGGGTCAGGAAACACGGGAGAGAAGGGAGGACGGGTTTCAAGGTAACCTTATCTGTGACTGGACTGTGTGGTTTATTCTTAGAGTCCCCGGCAGCAACGGCATTATGTTTTGCCTTTTTAGGCCAGGGGTGTTACCCCCGAAGAGGAGCCAGGCTGTCATCGAGTGAGAGTGCGGAAGGCAACCACACACGCATACACACAACACATCTCTGAAATGTATATTTTGATCCATTTTAGCACCATTTTCTGCTCATTTGCATAGTTAACTATTTCATATTATACTTTAAAAGCATGACGTACTGTATAGAGATCTCTTTAATGTGGCTAAGATTGAGGTACAGAAGTATTGTCAATGGATGCATTTAAGAAACTGAGTCTGTAAGCTGTTTACGGTGGCTTGTTAAATATTCATGCAAATCAAGCAAAACCTTTTTCATAAACCGTGCAAATGGAACATTTAGAAAGTTGACCTTTAAAGAGCAAATTGCATTTAATTATTTCAGCTCTACCTTCCCTGATTTACAGGGAATAGGGAAGAGCATGAGATCTCAGAATATAACCACGCTTTCAATGTTTAAAGATTGTATAAAATGGCTTGATGAGCAGTTTTCTGTCTTGTGTTGAGGTATTTGCTATTGAAACATGAAGGTGTTTTTTTTCTTTCTATTTTTGCAGAAAAATGTGTATCTGCTAAAAGACTGTTTAGTCAACTTCTTGGAGTATTCTATCATTTAGATGACTTCAAAGCGAATACATGTAGACTAAAAGCTACATAACTCAAATTTTTGTTAAATTCTTACATTTTTAAAGCGAAGTTTGGGTGCAATTTTGAGGAATTTGTTGTATTTTTTCACAATTAAAATAGCAACAAAATAACTGACAAATTTGAACATCCCGATCAGGCAATGGCATGAGTTTGGGGCAGGGACTAACTAACTAACTGACTGACTGACTAGCTACAGTAGCTAAGTACAAAATATCATAATAAATATAAATTATTTTTATATAAATTATTTATAAATGATTTTTGCTATCCCGTTTGGTGATGCTAGAGGTGTTCTCCTTTATATAACATTATTACATGGCTCTGTGGAATACTTGATTCTGATTGGTCAATCGCGCCATCCAGCAGTATGTTATTCCCAGATAACAACCACTGAAAAAAGATAACACAGGCTCATCCGGTTTAGTGAAGTCAGCAGCGCTATTTGCTTGCTAGGAACGGATTTTCTTCGTGGAAGTTTTGCATTTGGTGAGCTAATAAAATATTAAAACTCAGTCAAATCAATATTTTTTGTACAGTTTTTTTAATTATGCCATCCAGTATTGTGGACTCGCTCTCTCTTGTTTCATACAAACGCAGCTGCTACCATTTTGTGACTATTGTTTTGTACACTGTTGGATTTTAAGATACAAACAGGTACGATTTTAAAACAGTTTAATCTGAAATCAATATCTCCATAATTATTTATGTGGCGAAATGCTGTGTAATAAGTGGTATGACTGTATACCGTATCGCTTAAATGTCCGTCTAGTTTGAACTTGTCGCGCTAAAGACCTAATAAAATATTTAAACTCAGATCAAAATTTCGTGTCTAATTATTTACATATGTGGCAAGTAGCCGTGTAATAAGCGGGAGGATAGTGTACATCCAGCCGGTTGTTATCTCAGAATAAACCCCCTTCAGGCTGATGCAAGATCATCCTCATCCTTTTTACCCTGTCGGGGGTTTATTCTGACATAACAACCGGCTGGATGTACGTTATCCCTTACTTATACCATTAAAAGTGGAAATTGTTCAATGCTATCTCACGATTAATTCGTATGAGTGAGTAAAAGGTGTCTAATTCGAACAAATTCGTACGACCACACTCGAACGAATTTGTTGGATTTGTCTAATCGCCAGTGATGGGTAGGTTTAGGGGCGGGGTCAGGGGTAGGTCATTCATATGAATTCTTACGAATTGGGCAACTCGTAAAATATGTACGATTTAGCAAAAATCCTACAAATTCCTATGCGTGAGGTCGTATGAATTCGTACGAATTAGCCACCTCGTAAAATTTGTACAAATTGCCGTGAGATCTGCAGTTTAATTATTATACATTTTTTTCCATTTTATTGGAAGACCCCTTTGCTGGATTACAATCTTGCATCTTTACTCTCATCCCTTCAGAGCAGAATATTCAACAGAAGCTTCTCATTTCTCACCCACTCATCAGCACGGTTGTCGTAGTCAGTCAACCCTTTTGCAGGTCAATATGAAACATGCAGGTCTGATGAAATCGGGTGCAATGAGGAGGAAAAATGACTGGCATTGTGATGCGAATCACGGGTGTTTTTCCATATGCGCGTGTGTGTGTGTGTGTGTTTGTGTGCGCGTGCAGAGCCCACGCTGGTTAGAAGGTTGAAGCAGACACATTCTGTCCTGTTTAGTGCACCGCTATGTCACCCCACCTCAGGGTTCAATCCTAGCTCGTCGTCTCTGAACAGCTATCACATAAAAGACACTGTGATGACATCTGTGACCTCCTTATCTCACAATAGCAGGGTTTTATATCATCCAGATTTACATCTAAATGCTGCCTCCCTGAATAGCTTCTCAAGTCCTTGAAATGAGACAAGACTTTGCCAAGGGTCTGAATAAACTATCTGCATCTCTATCGTGCAAAGGCGAGAAAAAAAAGCATTGTGTTTTTCAGACAATTCCATCAGCGGTGCACTGAACGTCATGCTAAAAGTGGAAGCTACATAACTAGTTATTGCATTAAATAAGCAAAGCAACCAATAGATTATTAAGAGCAGATACAGAAACCTTTAAACAAATCAAGGTTCAGTTTTTAGATTTTAGGGATGGAAATTGGGAAGAATTTAATGGTTTTGGTTATGATTCCTCTTAACGATTCCAATTTCTTAACCATTTCATTAACTATTCGTTTTGTTCTTGTAAGGAATAAATATCTGGGGTAAGGTTTTGCTGTTTGATTCTCTAAAAAAGAACCAACCCATGAGACTACACTGGTTGTGCTGTATGTTTTTGAAAAAGACCAACTCGCGCAATCCAACATTTTGATCTGTCTGTCTGTATATGAAACTGGATAAATATTTTGAATGTTCTGATTCAATCTGACATTTGACCAGTAATGCAGCCTGAATCATAATCATGCACTGTTTGTTTATTGGCCCCCAGACTGAGCCTGGTTTCTCCCAAGGTTTTTTTTTTCCCTCTCCATTTTTTCACCTGATGGAGTTTGGATTCCTTGCCACTGCCGTCTCTGGCTTGCTTAGTTGGGGACACTAAATATTCAACAATATTACTGAACTGCCTGCATTGACACCATTGTATTACAGAACTAAACTGAGCTGGACAATGAAATCACTGATTTCTCCAGAGCTTCTGTATAGATAAATGAACAACTAAATTAACAACTTTTTTACAACAGAGATGAATCAACACTGAAAACTGTACAGCCAAAACAAACTTTGTTGCATCAGTTTCCTGTTATCAATGTAAAGCTGCTTTGAAACAATCTGTATAGTAAAAAGCGCTATATAAATAAAGGTGACTTGACATGCATACAAATATACTGTATATTACAGAAAACACCCACCCATTGCTGTTAGTCCCGCCCCCAAACTCACACCATTGGTTGAACCAGTGCCACAGTGTATGTTGTAGTAATTTGCTAGTGTAATTTTACATTTGAAAATGAAAAAGGAGAAGTTTACTAAGAATATTTTAGTAGATAAATATACATTTAAAATGTCCGGTTTCTTAGCGAATACAGACCATACTGACTTGACCAAATTTGAAGTGTTTCTTCAAAAAGCTTTATGAAAGTTAATGCAGATTTTTTCTTATATCATCTCAGTCTTTTTTATTTTATTTCACATTTCACTGTCTGTGAAATAAAATAAAAAAATGGAAGCAACGGAAAAAGGAAGAAATATAGAGCTGATGAGCCTGTAATGATGAAAAATAATGCAAAGTAGACTCCCTCCGTGAATGATTTAAAAACTAATTTAGAAAAAGAAATGAATTTTTGTGAGCCATACAGATGTGGGTTCTGGAAAAAGGAAAGCAATAAGCCAGCAGGTTGCGGAACGAAAATGTGATGCATAAACTTGTCTATAAAATCAAAACATTCACTTTTATAGCATTCCCTGTCTAACCACCAAGGGTTTTACAGTTAGCTAATGTCAACAACTCTGACTCAATGATGAAACAACTCTCTGACAATGATCTCCAAATCATTTAGTCTTGTTTAAGGTACAGTAAAAATAGCATTACTAACCTGGCATGATACACATTTGGGCCGCTTCATTGGGAAATAATCCGTCAGCACAGGCACAGACTTAAAGAAGCGTTCTTCTGCCTAATATATGTCAGGTTTTGTTCCTCCTCATATGAAGAGATCTGTAGCTGTTGGTGAGAGGAAGCAGACCCAGCAGTAAAGGATTGGACAAAACTGCATCTTAATGGGTAATTTAAAAGAACTGCTGATGAAGTCATTAATACTTAAAGACAGTCTGCCAGGAGTGCAATAGCAAGCAGAGCTAAATGACCATAATGGGAGGAGAGGTCAGGCCCTGATTCAAATGCTTTTGAAGAACAGGAATTTGGGGAGAAAAAGGAACAAAATAGGTCTAATGGGTTCTGTCATTGTGTTTCACTGGGAGGGGTGTTATGGATGTTATGAGTGCATCAAACCCCTGTTATGCCATGCCAAACCCAATCATAATTTAGTCTTGTCTCTTCTAACAACCATCTGGATGCTTGCCGCAGCAACAACAGAGCCATAAACAAGGAAGAGTATGAGTAACACACAGCAAACTAAGCCTTGTGTTTAATGGCGGGTGATCATATAATTCATAATAATGTGTACATCAATAAGGATCTCTCTTTTTTTTGCCCACAACAGTTCTAGAATTGTTTTTTAGCTAAGGTTTCGAGTTAAAGCTGCAAAAGTAGCTTTTTTGGGTTAAAAATGATCCAAAATAAAATTGAGCAAATACATAACCAGCTAGTGTTCAAAACTC